GATTCAGAGAGGAACAGCAGCATCCACGTTCCATAGATGGCTTGAGGGATTTCTTTCTGGTAGAAACCAGTGTTGGGAGGCAGGGACTTCCCAGCTTCAATGGGACTGGCACTTTGCTCACACTTCTCTTTGTGGATGTTTTCTTCCTTCAGGAAATGAAAAATATGAGAAGATACTGAAACAGCTCATAAAACCCCTGCAACAAGACAATCAGAGGAATAAGTCAGTTATTCTGAAGAAGCCTCAGAGCCTGAAGACCAAGATCTTGAAGTCTCAGACCCCAACAACTCAGACCTTGAAGACTCAGAACCCAAAGAGTCAGGACCTGCAGCCCAGTGTGCTTGCCTCTGGCACTGTAGTAAGAACAGCTGCAGCCCCGTTTGGCACAGGCCACCCTCTCCATGTCACCTGAGCCCCTTGCAGCCCACAGCAGCTCCTGGTGCCCTGATGACACTTGGGACCTCCCTGCCCACTGACAACCTTGTGTCACCTCAGCATTGCCCCTAGGGCTGCCCCGCTGGTCATGTCTCTTCTGGGGCTGCACCAGCTTCCTGGCTAGCCCAGGGAGAGATCCTGAAGGCCATGCTCCAGGGATGGAGTTGATGGTGCTTTGAGGGAGATGCAGGTCATTGCTGGGGAGTTCATTGTTCCCAACCCAAGCCCTGCCAGATTTACAGCCCTTAACAGCAGCTGCCTGATTGTGCCCTGGGGCTGTGCTGGAGGTGCTCATCTCCAAGAGGCACCAGCTTGGTCCCAGTTCCCTTTCAAGACAGCTGCTGTCCAAGCTGCCTTGGTACAGGCTGGGGGCAGGCAAGTATCTGGAGCTCTGGAAGATTCCTGGCTTGTCTGTCTGCCTGGCCAGATCAGCTTTGCTGACAGTGTCTGGGCAGGCAAAGATGCTGGAGTTACTTCCCTGGAGATGAGGTCCTGGCTAAGAGAGCAGGAGGTGTCACAGGCACTGAGCAGCCAGACAGGAGGACCCCACACCCCCTCCCAACCAGAGTGGGGTGGGATCCTTTCTCAGGTGCAAGCTGGGCTTTGGGAAGGACCTTTGCTAACCAGCCACTGTCTTCCCTTTCTTCAGTCAGACACTCAGCTGCAGATAAAGATGATGAGGATGCTGATGGAGAAGGCTGCTCTGGAGCTGCAGCAAAAGCTCACATCCCATCCCCTGAAGAGCAGGTTCCCTGACAAGGAGCTGTGCCAGAGTCTTGCCAAGTGAGTAGGGACTCCCATCCCCATCTCCAGGTGCCCCTTGGGAACACCCAGCCATGTCCCCTTCTCCTGAGAGCTCCCTGTTTCTGCAGAGCTGGGAACAGCCTGGACTTCAGAAAGGGTCTGGTCCTGGTGGCTGTGACACGCTGCATGTGAGCAGTGGAGTGTCCTCCCTTCCCCAGCACCACGCTGAGCTTTGGACTGCTCAGCTCCCCACAGCTGTGGGGTTCTGTCCCTAGAGCTGGGGGACCCAGTGCAGACCTTCAAGCCCTTCCAGACAGCATAGATTCTGTCCCTGCTGCCTAGCTCTGAAGGAGACAACTCCCAGCTGAAGTCTTGCTTCCAGCTAACAGCTGTGCAGCTGTGACACTGAACAAAAGGAGAAGGGAGCTGCACATGTCAACAAACCCTTTAAAACCCAACATCAAATGGTTTGAATCCTGGTGGAGTGGCAGGGCAGGTGACATGGCCTGTCCCTTTGCACCATCATGATGCAGCACAAGCATGGGAGGCTTCAATTCAGGAAGAAGATGCTCTGCAGAGCAGCTCATGTGGTCTGGTTGCAGAGCAATGAAGATTTCCTGTGCAGGCAAACCTTATTCCTAGACCCCAAAGCAATTTCAGGCTCAGGCTGTACACCAGGCTAGGCAGTTCCACTGAGAGCAGTGGAGGCCCAGTGGACTCACCTAGACTGGCTTTTCATGGCAGACGAGCTGTGGCCAGTGTCCATTTTAAACTAATTTTATTTTCAGGTACCATTAGTAGCTGATCAAACCTAGGGCCTGCACTCCTCCTGACTTCCCAAAGTCATTGCCAGGTGGTCAGGCTAAGGGTTTCATGGGCTTGAGCTGAGTTTTTACAGCAGTGAATAAAGAAATAGCCACTGTATTTGTATCCTCCATCCACTTGGATGTGTAGCCAGGCTGTGGTTTAAGGACTGTCCTTATTCCTTGCAGAGTTGAGCTGCCCCAGTATGTCCTGGACATGGGCCCTGTCCTTAGGGGTTACACTGAGACACGCTCTCTGAAGATCACCAACCCTGGGCAGATCCATGTGTCCTTCAAGGTCGATGTATCTGTCCTGCAGGACACAGGTAAGCAGTGCTGGAGACACTTCTGTGGCCTTGAAGGAGGTGTCTCAGACAGATTAGCTTAAGCCCCTGAACCTGGGGAGGTTTCTGAGCTTTTTCTTCTCAGTGCCCCTGCTGGGAGTTTTAGAGGCAGAGCTCTCCTGGCCAGCCATGCCCAGGGACCTGGCCTGCCTGCGACTGCCCCAACGCTTCAGTGCAGGGGCCAATGGACTCATCACCCTGGTCACCTCTCAGCATCTTCCCCCCTTGGCTCCCACGAGCAGCAAGTTTCTTTGGGCACTCTGTGGGCTTGTTTTGCCAACCAGTGGGGTCTGCTGTGTTTTGGAAGTGCTTTGTTTGGAGTTCACACTGTCACAGCACTTGTATTCAGTCTTTATTGAGGAAGCAGCCTGTGAGATCCTCTGGTGGATCAAAAGAGGTTTCCAAAAGAGGCCTTGAGGCAAAGAGGCCTTGAGGCAAGGCTGCCCTTCCATCACACAGTGGCTCACTGTGTCTGAAGGGTGTTCAGGTGCACTCTTAAGTTTTGTCCAGGTCAGAGCACAGCGTGGGGCTTTTGCCAGACCTCTCAGCCAGGACACCTGTAAGGCCTTAACGTGCTTGTGCACATTTTGTGTTTTGTGTGTATCTCAGCTGCTTTGTGTTCATCTGTTCAAGGTTTCAGCGTGGGCCTGGACCAGATGATTTGCCTGCCCCCCAACAACAGCGTGGACTTTGACGTGCGCTTTGAAAGTGCCCACAAGCCATATGGTGACGTGGAAGTGCTGCTGCCCATAGAGGTACCACAGCTCTTGGGGCAGGCAGCAGGCTGGGCACAGCAGCAGATGTCACCCGCACCCTCTGCTGAATCCTCTGTCCTTCTCCAGGTGACAGAAGGCCCTTTGTACAGCATCCGCATCCGTGCCACTGTGTCTGAAGTGTCACTCACCCTCACCAAGAACAGACTGCAGTTCTCTGACATCCCTGTTGGGCAGTGCCAGGTTGAGACCATCCAACTCTACAACCGGTTCCCAGAATCCTGCAAATGGTTCATTGCTTCCAACAAGCCTGCTCTGAAGGTAAAGCACAGGCCACATTGAACACGGAACTTGGTCGGGTTTTCTTTGTGACTCTTGCTCTTTCTGCTCCTGTGGCTGCCTGAGCACTTGAGTCTACAGTGTGTTTGAGGAAAGTTCTGAGGGTCTAGATCAAGGCTGGTTTGCCTCAACCTGTTCCATTAGCTGATGCTTTGCTTTGCTGCCATCTTCACCCATTCCTCTTCCTCCTCTGAGGACAGTAGTTCCCTATCTGCCTGCCCTGTCTCCAGGGCTTCCCTCCAGCTCTGGGCTTTGGGGCCACACTTGGTTTGGCTGTGGGTGCTCTCAGCTCCGTGTCAGTGTCTCAGAACACGAGGAGACCTCACATGATTGGTTTCTGTGCCCAGAATAGTCACCTCAAATTCATGACACCAGCCGTACGTCAGAAGCTGCAGGTGCTGGTGGATGAGCCCTGTCCCTTTGACGTGACGCCCTCCAAAGGAACCCTTGATCCAGGGAAGTGGCAGGATCTGCAAATCCAGTTTACACCCGAGGAGGAGGTGAGACTGGCGGGTGTCAGCCCAGGAGGCTGTCAGGGCTGTCTGGAAATGAGGGCCTGGTGCAGAGAGTGTGGTAGGAGCTCTGCCTTCACAGGGAGCTTTCTGCAAGCCCCATACTCTGCGTGGCTCAGTTCACCCCACAGAGCACTCGTGTGAGATGTGCTTTGAAATGCCCACAGGGAGCTTGCACAGAGAGCACCAGGGCTCTGAGGCTGCCTCTTGGCACACGGGGGGGATGTGCCCAACTCCCCTCAGCCTCCCCCTTGCCTGGCTGTATTTGCAGCTGTGACACTCAGTGCAGAGCAGCTGCCCACTCACAGAGGATAATCCTGGAATGGCTCATCCTGCTGCAGGACTGACAGACCAAACAGCCACCACCCACCTTCCTGGGCACGGCAGGACGGTCACCTGTAGTGGGGTGCTGCCAGCAGTCCCTGGGGCTCTGGCCTGCCTGCACATTCCTGTCCAGCTGGGGATTCAGCTTAAAGGACAAAGCATTCCCAAAAGTGGTTTGCCTGTGGCTGCTGGGTCTCGGAAACTGGCAGCATGTACCAGCATGGCCACAAGTGCTTCTGTGCCACACACAGTCCCAGGGATCTTTTAATTGCTCAAGAAATGTAACCATCTTGTGTCTGGCTTGGACCAGAGCCAGACACTAAGCAGAGAAGATGACCCTTATTTCTTGCCAGTGAGAGCTCATTTGCCTCTCTCGTGGAGCTGGTGTTTGCCTGATGCAGCAGTGCCAGGACTGTGTCTGGACACTGTAACCCTGAGGGCCCTTCCCATGAGCACTGCACTCCTGCATGACTAGGTGAAAATGTCTGACAGTCCATTGTACATACATCCATCTGATTCCCAAATACCCAGTTACAGTGCACACCAGCGTTCATCCCAGTTACTCAGACCCAGACTACTACAGATGCTCTAGTCCCTAGCATAAGTAAATATCTGGTTTCCATTCACCTTGGAGGGACTGATAACACCCTGACCTTGGGGCAAGCCTTGTTGTATTTGGGGTCCTGTCACCTGGGACTTCATGGATGAGTTTTCTGCACTTTCCTCTTTTCAGAGGTCTTACAAGAATGAGCTGGAGTTTATCATTTGTGGGAGCAGCAATCGCTTAAAGCTGCACCTCTCAGGACAAGGTCTGGAGCCACGGTTGGAGTTCAGACCCCCAGCACTAAAGATGGGAGGGATGCTGGTGGACAGCAATGGGGTGGAGGCCACAGTGGTGGTGAAGAACCCATGCAACTTCCCCACTGAGTCTCACTCACTGGATTTTGATGAGCAGTACCTTGAGGAGGAGAAGGTGAGAAGGCAGGTCTGGTCCCCATGTACACGCTGCCCAAGCTTCACAGCACTCCAGCATTCCCAGGCTTGTGCCAGGGAGATGGAGGCAATCCCCAGGGCAAAGCCAGCTCTGCTGACATGCTGTGGGAGGACCTAAACTAAATAGTTGGTGTTATTGGGAGGAAGGGAGGAGACAGAAAATGGGTTGATTGAGTCTGTGTGATGAAAGGCAAGAAAAGGAATCTTGCGTATGGTTTCTCTTCCCTCCACATACAGATCCTGCAGATGTCACTAAGGTCTGAGTACCAAAAGAGCTTTTTTATGCCTCCATGTTCCATGGGTGAGACACTGCCTCCAGAGGTGCTGCAGGACCACGAAGCACACAGGAGGCCAAAGGCTCAACAGGCAGAGCTCAAGCCCATGGCAGAAGCCAAGGCCAGGGCTGAGTCTGAGGTCAAGGCCAAGGCCATAGGCAAGGCAGCAGCAGGTCAGAAAAACAGTGAGGGTTTGGTGGTGTCTGTTTTGCCTGTGGTCCAGCCCATACACCCTGAACTCTCTCTGTCACCTTGCTCTCCAGGGAAAGCCCATTCTTTTAGCAGCTGCCTGTTCCCCAGCTTGGTGGAGGAGCTCTTGGCTGAAGGGCTGTGGCATCCTCTACCAACCCTGAGTGTAGCCAAAGCAAGCTCCTATCTGCCTGCCATAGACTGGGGAAATAATCAGGATATTTCCTTGTGTCCCTTAGCCACAAAGACTAGGGCTGGATGAGTTCCTCAGCCAGTAGGACCAGGTCTAATATCACTGGCTCTTTTATATTTGCACCTTCCTAGCAACAAAAGAACAATCTCATCTTGCTTTCACCGAGTCTCCTTTCCTGGGATCCGAGGGCATGGGGACTTTACTGCCCGGCCATAGCTTGGGGGATTGTCTGAATTCTGGGGAGGGATACAAGCTCCCCAATATCTCCTGGGATGATAGGCTGGGTCAGGAAAAGCTGTGAATCCTTGCAGCTGACCCAGAGCACCCAGGTCAGCTTGCAGTCACTCATGGTTTCTCCTCTTTGTGCTAAAGAACTGCAGCGAGAGAAAGCTCTGCAGAGGAAAGCAGAAGTGGATAAAATAGCACTGGAAAGGAAGCTCATACGGAGGAAAAAGTGAGTAAGGCTTCCATGGGTTACTGCTGTTCCATGGGTTATTGTCCCTGGAGGGCCTCCCTGCTCCAAGGACTCTGAGCTCAGAGGTGCTGGATAGCAAAGGCCAGAAGCAGCACAGGGATGGCCATTCTGAGCTCCCTGGCTGCCAAGAGAGGAAGGACCTTCTTCTGTTGAGACAGAAGATCTTCTTCTCTATTGGAGTGCTGAGCCCTCCTGGCTTAGATGCTGCCTGCAGGGAGCTGGGCTCTGGGCTTGCCTTGGCACTGCCTCTAGAGGTGTCTTTAGGTCCATGGGGTTGAGTTGCACCTTCTTGATCATCTCCCTTCACCAAAACAGTGGGATTGTGGTATGGGCAGGTGTGGGGCACAGAGCAAAGCTTGGTTTGGGTCCTGCTCCTGCCACAGCATTGCAAGTCCTTGCAATGCTGATCTGCCAGGCTTCTCCTTATGGTGGGACACCACCCACAGAAGCTCACGTCCTTTAGGCTCCCCTTCAGCTGCAGCAGTAGGCCAGCCCAGGAGAAGCTCAGCTCCAGCAAGGCAGCCCAGCTCAGGACACACAGGCAAAGTGTGGAGCTGAGAGTGGAGGCTGGTTAAAGCAAGTCTGTGTATCAGGACTTCCTTCAGCCCAGGCTGAAGTTGGTTTCATGGGGAGGAGACAGATGAGGCTGTTTCAGATGGCTTTCATGGCAGAGAGCACCGGTTTGCTTGCTCACAGCTGGGTTCCTGCAGGAAATCTGGCTGACAAGAGCCTGTCTTGCAGGAGAGGAGTTCCTGCAGCCTTTGCTTTCTGACTGATAGGATTATTCTCATGAAGGAGCAGGCTGTGCCCTGAGGGGTGCTGAATGAGCTGAGTGAGAATTGTAGGAGAGATAAGCAGATGTCAGCAATCTGTGATCTGCTTTAAACTGGGAAATCAAGAGACAAAGAGCATTTTCAGGCATCAGCACAGAGAGCTGCTGGATCAGCCTTTGGCAGTGGGCTGGAGGTGTCTGGCTGTGCCTTAAGAGGGAGCTTGCACAGCCAAGACCTTATGATGGCAAGGTTCAGGTTTGGCTGGTCCTGGAGGTCCCCTTGCACCAATGGCATCACTTGGGATGTTCCCAACCTCTGTGGGTTGAGAAAAATTCACGGAAATGGTCTGGTGGTTCTGCCTGGCCTCAGGGTCAAGGAATGAAGTGCAGGGCCGGCCAGGACTGCTGAGCCCAAGTTTCTGGTGGGGACTCTCAGCGACTTTTTCTGTTTTGTTTGCTGAAGGGAGCTGAAGCAGCTGGCTCAAAAGCGTGAGGAGGAGGCAAAAGCCTTAGAGGAGGAAGAGAGGCGGAAGGAGGAAGAGAAGCGGAAGAAGGACAAGAAGGGTGTCTCTGTGGGGAAGCAACCTCCAAAACCAGAGAAGGGGAAAACCAAACCCCCAGAGAAGAAGGAAACCAAGGCTCCAGAGGGGAAGGAAACCAAGGCTCCAGAGAGGAAGGAAACCATGATCCCAGAGAAGAAAAACAAACCTCCAGAAAAGAAGGAAACCAAACCCCCAGAGAAGAAGGAGACGAAAATCCTAAAGAAGGCAACCGAACCCCCAGAGAAGAAAAACAAACCTCCAGAAAAGGAAACTAAATCCCCAGAGAGAAAGGCAACCAAAATCCCAGAGAAGGAAACCAAAGCTCCAAAGAAGGGGGAAGCAAAAGCCCCAGAGAAGGGGGAACCCAAAACCTCAAAGAAGGATGAAACCAAAGCCCCAGAGAAGGGGGGAACCAAAGCCCAAAAGAAGGGGAGAACCAAAGCCCCAAAGAAGGGAGAAACTGAAATCCCAGAGGACGCAGCTGAGATGGAGAACTTGATCCAGAGGTTTCAGATCTATGAGTCATTGCAGCAGAATTTCTCCTACTGGAACAGAGTTCAGGGTACTGTGCAGATACCTGTGATCCAGAAGGGAAACAAGTTCCAGCATGCAGCTGGAAACCAAGGTCAGAAGACCAATAAGCCTCAGGAGAAGGTGAAGAAGAAACCTGAACAAAAATGTAGAGACCAAAGCAATCTTTAGTCATCTCAGCTGGAGATGCAAAGCAAAGTTACAGAGGGGACAGTCAGATGATGATGTTCCACAATGACTGGGTATCATCTGTGCTGATGGGGAGGTTACCCCTTCTTGGGACTCAGTTTTTTCAGGCAGGGAAAGATTATTCTTTAATCACTCAACTCAGTTTCTACAGTTTCAGACCTCGTGTGCAACTTTAATTAGTTAATAGATTTCTTTCTAATTACGCTATTGGTTAATAAAATATATTTTACTTGTGCATCAAATCTCTCTATTGTATTGTTTACTTGTTCTCTGCACTGATTCTCATGGGACAAATCCCTTGTTGTTGCAGGTACATTTGTTTTTCACCCTCAGAATAGATTGTTAACAAACTCTCATTCTCAAAATAGCTTCACATAGGAACTTGTAACTGCTTCTCTGCACTTAGAAGAGATGACAGGCCAGCTGTTAATATTGCAGAACAAGGCCTGATTTCATAAGGCCTTTCTTTTATTATTATTCTACCTGTCTATGACATCTCCCCCTTTTCATTCATTTAAAAAAGGCTCCTATGTTCTGCTGTTGAAACAGCTCACTCTTGTGAGGGTATTATCTCATGAAGGTTTTCACTGGTTATTATCTGTTAGACAACTGAAAGGTGAATAAGCCATAAATGAAATAACAGCATGATGGTGTACTGGAGGGATTAAAGTTGTAAAAAGCATATTGGAATTCTAAGTAAATCAGTTATGAGAAAAACTCATGGGAACTGCAAATTCCATGGGAACAGAAATTCAGTACGACTTTTTAAAGTGCAGGGTTACTGAAAAATAAATATAATAACGTGCAATTTAGCATATTGCTGAACAACCCAACAGCTTTTTGTGACTGTATCTGGCATCATTTTATATGGCATGTTAGCATTCTTGTTAAAAATATCAGACCATGTTAAAATTTGATAGGTAATAAGGCGTTGCATTTACCGCTTTTCAATCTCTCCAGTAACTGTAAAACTATATAAAACAATCAGAATTTAGTCAGAAAACGAAATAAACTTAAAAAAACCCTATAGCAACACGTTTTCAAGGCGCACAAACACAGTAGGTAAGGCTCCTGCCTCCTATCAGACAGAAGGAATCAAGCAGCTCTGCGCCAGAGCAGGGGCCTGTGCCGCGCACAGGGCAGAGGGAAAGCCCTACAATAAAGGGAAACTATGGGGAGAAGAGAGGACATTTAAAGTGCAATGACATAACTACACATCAATAAAGCTTCTCTTAATATTCACACAATAGTCATCCCTTCATTGCGCGGGCCAATCCTCTCATTATCCATGGATCCCAGCAGGGCCCTGCGGCCGTGAATGCGGCCCGCTCTGGGCTCGCCTGGCTCGGCCGCCACAGCGCCCCCGGGGCCGCTGCACCTCTGCTCCCCCAAAACACCCGCGGGGAAAAGAGCAGGGCAAAGGCAGCAACACAAAACAAACTCTAAAACCCGCACACAAAAAGATAAACACAGAAAAGGCACAAGCTGCATTTTATTTCATCTTCTGCCAACACAGTCACTGACTGAGAGTTGCATTTCCACGGCAAAGATCTGCCTTTTGAGAAACTTCAAACACAGAAATATCTTTTTTACTAGATGTGTACAAGGCCAGGCCTCATTGGAGGCACAGCTTTTCTCACAACTCTGCATCATCTTTAACTGAAAAAGAATTAAGCAGTATGGTCATGAGTCTGGCATCTCAGCCAGAAAGGCCAGGTATTAGAGGGAAGAAGTCAGCCTATAAAATCTGATTAGTTTTCCTCTTCCATTGGTCTGTCAATAATGTTAATCAGAATGTATCTCTACATGTTAACATGAAGGTGTTTGTATTTACATAAGCAGTAATATATCTATAAAGACTTTTGAATTCTCTTCAAGGACAAGAAAATTTGAACCAATAATCCTTTCCTAATAGACAGGTCCAGTTTAACTTTTCACTGAAGATGTTAAACCCAAGGGTAGTTCATGTAATGCTGTCGTTACATGTCGCTATCTTCATGCACAACAGCCCATCTTTATTCTTCACAGCTCACATTTAGATGGTTTTCTAAAGGCATTGTCTTTCATTTTAATTGGTTAGTAATTTACTGCAATTCGGTTCATTGGTTGGTAGTTGCTAAAGTACATGTTAGTCAAAACCTTTCCTCCCTAACGAGGTTTACATTCTTGTCTCCTGGATAGAAGCTGTGGGTAGAAGTCTTTCTTCTTCTTTCTTCTCCTTTCTCACAGGAACTTGTCAGGCTAGCTGTTAGCTGTACTTAGCTGAAGCAGCAGGCCTGAGCCATAATTTTACAAGGGTAACAAAGCTCTTCTTTTATAGGGCTTTACAATATTGTATGTAACAATGTTGTATGCAACATTGACATATGATTATTTCAATCTTAAAGAATAATCTTAAATTTCTTTCCCGTGAATTTTGACCTTTGTAATATTTGTGTAGGATATATTTGGAGTTAAAATCTGGTTTGAATCATCCCTTCATAGAATCACAGACTCATGAAATCATCAAGGTTGGGAAAGCTCCCTGAGACCACGGAGTCCCAGCTGTGCCCGATGCCCACCTTGTCCCCAGCCCAGAGCCCTGAGTGCCACCTCCAGCCCTTCCTGGGACACCTGCAGGGATGGGCACTGCCAAGCTCCCTGGGCAGCCCCTGCCAAGGCCTGAGCAGCCTTTCCATGGGGAAATTCCTGCTGGTGCCCAGCCTGAGCCCAGCCTGAGGCCGTTCCCTCTGCTCCTGTCCCTGTCCCTGGGAGCACAGCCCGACCCCCCGGCTGTCCCCTCCTGGCAGGGAGTTGTGCAGAGCCACAAGGGCCCCCCTGAGCTCCTTTGCTCCAGGCTCAGCCCCTGCCCAGCTCCCTCAGCCCCTGCTGGGGCTCCAGCCAGGATAGCATCCTAGTGCTATACAAAGAGCAGTGCCGTAGGTGCCTTTATCACCACATTTTAATCTTTCATAAATACAGAAAGACTCGTCAGAAAGCACTAAAGCCAAGTCAGCAGCAAAAGTGCCAATGTCCTCTGCAAAGCAGCGCGGCCCGGGCCCGGGCCGGCCCCAGGCTCGGTGCCGCGGTTGCCCGGTAACCGCGCCCGGGCCCTCAGCGTCTGTGACGGCGCCGTGGCCTCAGCGCCCGCAGCCGGCGCTGCTGCTCATTCGCACTCGGCATTAGCCAAGCGAATGCTTCGCAGAGATTGGTCTCTACGAGTCCTGCGATTTCGTGGAGAATTGGTCTCTGTGAGCAACTCGGAAACTCGCAAAACATTGGTTTCTGCTAGGGACTCCTAAATTCACAGAACATTGGTTTCAGTGAGGGAGTCCTGAACTTACAAAGCATTGGTCTTTGTGAGGGACTCCTAAATTCACAGAACATTGGTTTCTGTGAGGGAGTCCTGAACTTACAAACAATCGGTCTTTGTGAGGGAGTCCTGAATTTCGTTTGAAGGTAAAGATTGACTCAGGTTGTACTTTCTGGTTTTGTCACATCTCTGCTCTGAAAGAGAATGCCAGAGGGAAATACAGGATGGGATAATGCCAGTCTTCAGTTTGGTGGCATGTACAGCTGAGGGGATAAACCATATATGGTCTGCTGATGGTGCTTTTTGTCTCACCGAAGAAATGCAACATTTCCTAAATATACTAGTCTATCCTTTTTTTCCTATAGTATTTATTTAAACTACTTCTAGGTGAATGAGTTCTGTTCAAGTTTCAGGGGGTTGTTATGATCTAGTTATTAAAATTATTAAGGAGATGCCCCTGGATTAAGGTGCAAAACATGACCATGTGCCAAAGTCAATAGTTTGGATTTTATGGAACAGTAAATGTGAGGAAGAGAGAGGGATAAAGAAATAGCAAAAGGAGGGGGGGAGGGAGAGAGCTGGGAAGGGGGGAAGAAAGAGAGCGACAGAGAGAGATTTAGTAGAAAATATCACCATTCCATGGATCCCATCCCATTCAATCCTCTTCTGGTCTTCTCTGTGGTGAGGCCTCACAAAATGGAAGACTCCAAAGGATTAATGCAGATTTGGGCAAGGTGGCACTGCCCAGGTAGCTCCCTGGGGTGGGGCAAGTTTGGCTCTGTCTCTTGCTACTCTCAAATAATACAAAATCTTTAGCACTAGGATATCCTTTGAGTCTGCCCTGAATTGGGTTGTGGCTTTTCAGATCTGTTGTGTTACTTTGCATGCCCTGCAGTCGTCTGGTGCAAGGCCTCAGGAATGGCTCTGGGGGCACTTTGGAGGTCTTTGATGGGTTATGACACCCCCTCAGCTGCCCCTCATGGGAAGGTCCCCTGGATGTGGCCTTCTGGGGCTGGGGGCTTCTAGAGCTGAGCCAGTTTGCCTGAGGGAGGATGGGTGTCCACTGCCCCTTAGCAGAGGTTGTGCCACACGCCCAGAATTTCCTCCTCCCCCCTCTGTTGATGGGAGGTTTGAGTGCAAACCTGGCCTCAGCAGACGAGTCTGTGGCTATGACTTCCCCAGCCTGAAGGCAGACAGAGCTGGTTTTCAGCACAGCTGCTGGGTCTGGCTTTAGTGGGGATGTATTTTTCTCCCTCAGCCTTGTTCACTTCTCCCCAGACCTGAGCTAATAGGATGCTAGTGTCAGCTTTATCTTGTCTCAAGTTCCCTTAGGCAGCTTAACTCACAGTGCCAAGTTCCAGTCAGGAGGCATTTTCAGGGAAGGGTGGGCTTGGGGGTCTCAGCTTCTCTATACAGTTTTGTCACAATGGGCAAAAAGTCCTTTATAGCAATATTTAAGCCATTAACCATAACACTCCAGTCTCTCTCAAGTCCTGTGAGGAGCAGCTGAGAGAGCAGGGGTCATTTAGCCTTAAGAAGAGGAGGTCCACTCAAGCTGTTTTTAAATAATATTTAAGCTACAGCTTTGATTGTTCTAAGTATTTTTAATGTTGAGCATTTTAGCTCCAGGTTTCAGTATGATCCATCTTTGAATTGCACAAGGTAACCATGTAGTTCAAATAAAGTCCAACTAGAGGCCTAACAATACTAGCTGCTTATGCCAAACAAGCACATAGCTACTTTCAAATCATAGAAAATCTTTAGCACCAGTATATGCCTTGAGTCTGCCATGAACTGGGTTCTGGATTTTCAGAGTTCCATTGTTGTTCCTTCCAGTTCTGTTGAGGGACTGTCACTCATCTGTGACATCATCACTTCACAATGGCATCTGGATTCCCAGGAAGGACACCAACACCTCGACTTTTGCTTAGGGAAGGACTTAAGCCTAATAATGTGAGTAGCCCCTGGGGCTGTGTTCAGGCTGGAAACTGCCCTGGTGTCCCTGCTCTCCCTGCCCCTGTTGTCCAGCAGTGCTCTGAAGCTGCAGAGCCCCTCCCCAGCCCTCTGTGCCATGCTCCTGTTGCTGTCCTGGTGCAGTAGGGAACACTGTGGGATGTGTCAGGGACAGCCCAGCGCCTTGCCTGGCTGTGCCAGCAGAGCCAAGTGAAACCAATGTACAGCTGAAGCCCTCAGCATGGGCTTCTTTCCCTCCCCTTTGCCACAGCAATTCCTTCTGTCAGGCTGGGCACTCACCTGTGCTGCTCTGACCAAGCTGCCCTTGGGCACCTGGGCATGTGAGGGGGAAAGCTCAAACTCTGCCCCAAGCCTTGAGAGCCACGGCTGGTCCCAGCTGGAAGAGCTTCCAAAGCAGCTGTTCTCTCCCAGCTCCTGGGTGGGCACAGATGCAGCCCTGCAGGCAGCACTGGAGCCAGGGCCACAAAGGTCCCTTGCTGTCTGCAGCTCACTTGACTGAAGATGCCCCACTGCTGAGGCTCTGCCAAGGACATCCCTCTGTTTTCTTCTCTCGAGGGCTCTGTCAGCCCAGACAGAGAAAACCAATGCTAAGTAACAGAGAGAGCTAAAACTTGGACACATTCCTGTGCACCTCACTCTTGCTACAGCTTGTCTTGCTTGCTTCCCTTGGACTCAGCCAGCAGTGCTATCTCCTGCCTGGGAGTTTTGAGTGTTGTGCAGGGGTGGAGTTCAGGCAGTTCTGAGAGCTCCTCCCCACTCTCTGGAAAGGTCACTGCCTCAATCCAGTGAAATGGAAGAGGAAACAAATGCCCAAAGAGCAGAAATCCCCAAACATGTCCCATCAAATCACAGAGAGACTCATGGGACAGAGCCATGTGGCTGGAGTATGCCTATTGCACTCTGTATTATTAATTTATTGGTGCTAAGTATTTCAGCAGGCAACTTCCAGGGTTTCCAGAACTGTCCTAGTGGTTGTGATCACAAATTATTCATCAGTGCCACTTGTTCAAGGAAAGCCTTTCTGAACAAGCACATCTCTGACATTCTTGCTGTTTGGTTTTTTTTTGTTTTTGGTTGGTTTTTTGTTGTTTTTTTGTTTTTGCATTTCAGCTGCTTCCCTCTAAGTTCCAGAGGGAGAAGTTTGTCAACTCAAAGCAGGAGGCCAGCACTGGAGGGAGTTTTCTGCCCAGAATTGGCCCATGTGTCGACATGAGTGAGACTCGTCAAAAGGTAGCCTTTTCCCGCTCTTTTCCTTTCTGTTTAACATGAAGTTTGAAGAGGGTGAGTGCTTGTGACAGGCTCGCCTCCAGCAAAAGACCTCAGTGTCCAGGTCCTGTTGTCATTGCAAACTGCTGGGAGTGGTGGACTGGGAGTCCTGATCTGCACTAAGCCAACACAAATGACCTCTGCTGAAGCTGCTGGGCTGTGCTGGAGTGTAGCTGCCATTGCTAAAACCAGGGGGGGAAGGCTGAGGACGCAAAGGCACCAAATTGCCATTTGCCATTCTCCTGCTGAAGGAGCCACCTCTTGCTTTGGTGTGGTCACCATCAAATGCTTGGGGTCACAGCATTCCCTCCACAGTGGCAGCGTTGGCCTTTGAGGCCGAGGACCTGCAGGAATGACTTCAGATTGAGCAAAACAAATTGCATTACTGCTTTGGGCTGGAACAATGTGTTGGGACCCTGACGGGGTGTTAGATTTTGCAGGCTGCCAGATGTACAGGGGACTGGCCCTGGGCAGAAGGGAATGGATGTGCTTTATCTGGATCAGTGCCTACTTAGAGTTGTGTTTAAAGCTGCTTTTCTGGCAGGACTGGCTCAGTAGAAAGCACAGTCCAAAGGGGTAGGTGACCGAGGTGGGCTGTTGAGCAGGAAATTGGCAGCAAGCGACACGGAACACAATCCAGGTTAAGGATTGCCCTGGAGAGGGGCCTTGGGAACACCTCAGGGAAAGGCACAACTAAGGCACAGTGTGCTGCAGCCACTCCCTTCAGCAGACTGTGTCTCCTCATGGAGTCACACACAAGACCTGCTTGTGTCTCTGGTGTAACAACAGTGTGACTGGAGAAGGCAGACAAAGCAGGGCAGAGCCTTCTTAAAGCAATGTCTCTGGTCCAGAAGCATTTGCTGTTGTTGTGTCTTTCCAGACATGCCTCTGCAATGGTATTAAATAAGATGGCAATAATGACAAGAAAGCACCCATTTAAAGCTAATGGAAAAAGGAGATACCAACTCTACTCTTAGCCAAGTCGCTGAGAAAATAATTGAACCTTATCCTCATTCAGCATTGTCATTCACTTGTCTTCTATCCTCATTCACTTGTCTTTTTCCTGACTTCATTTTTGCCTTTACCTGACTTCCTGACTTTATTTTTGCCTTTCCCTCTGTTAGAAAGGCAGTAACTTTTAAATGCAATGAAAGGGGACAAAATCATCAAAGCAAAAGAAAACTGTTTATTAGCAACCACACACAGAGGCGTGTGTCTCCCTGGCCCCGAAAAGGAGCAAACACACCCTCCAAGAAAAAAGCAATCTTTGTATCCCCTTTGTACCCAGCTGGGACAGTCCCTGGCCCCTTTCCCCCGGAGGGGTACTCAAGAACTTCCATTCTCTCTGACCACCAACTTTTCTGTCCCCTCTCCTCTCATCCTCCTTCCTTTTGGTCAGGTCTTCAGCCAGTTGGTGCTGCCAACTCACAGCAACACCCAACACACCAACCTGAACAAATCCAAACTACAAACAACACATAGTACCAACAAATTCCATTCTTTCACTTAAAAACCTTTTGGCTTCAGCCAAATACCACCTCATCTCTCACACCTCCTCTAGTACTGTTCTCTTCTTACTGATGCTTAAGTTCTAGTTCAAAACAGGTATTTGCAGTTGTGTGGGCCTCAGTTTCCCTGTCTCAGAGTAAAGGACATCCCCAAATTGAATCTGATGTAAATTTGTGGGTCTTACTTACTCCATGAGTGCTCATTCAGTGCTCCAGTGGGCACAGGGCTGTGCTTAAGGAACGTGCTGCCTGGCATTCTGGAGAAGGAAAGCTGGAGAAATCAAAAGAGCAACTTGGCTTGAGCCTGCTCTAAGCTGATCAAGCAGTTCTTGATCAGCTCAGAGCAGAGGTGGGTGAGCCAGAGTTTGCCCAGTGTGTCCTGGGCACACATGCTCACCCAGAGTCTGTGCTTCACTGGGGATCAGTGTAAGGGATCCTTCATGAACTTTCCTCCCAGCAGCTGAACCTCTCCCTGCTCTCTCGCCTCTCCAGCTGTCACCAGTTCCCCCAAAACGGAGCGTGATTGGGGTTTCCCCACGAGAGCTGGTATTTCAGAACGTCGTTGCTCATGAGGTCTCTGAAATGGTGCTGTCTATCATGAATAAGGACAAGGTAAGTGCTGGCACCTGGAGCTTTAACACTGTGCTGGAAGAGGAGAGTGCTGTCATTCCCCCAGTGTACAGCAAAGCAAGTTATCTGCTGCAGCACATCCAGAAGAAAATGTCTCAGCACCTTTGTTCTGCAAGTTGTGGAAATCTTCCTGTGCAGGGAACTGTCCCCTGATTTTGGCCATGCATTGATGGTATCTATGCCAAAGGAGTTTCCTGCACTTGAAAGCTCTGGATTGGTAGGAATGTTGAGCCTGTACAGTTCTTACCTGCTCTCATGCTTTGCCTTGAGCTATACCACATCCTGGGTTTCCTTGGTTAATCTTGGCTCCTGGTAGGAATCTCTGCCTCTCTCAGACTGTTTGGCTCCCTTTGTGCAGCTCACAGTCAGCTCAGGGGCTGAGTCTTCTCCACTTTATGCTGGAATCACTTCTCATTCATGGCATTGGCACTGCAGGAAATGTGTTCTGCAAGAGCCCTGCAATCAGAGTGATGGAGCAGAAGCAGTGGGAGGCCTTTAGGTGCCACTTCAGGCTCCTGCTAAGTTTCATTCAGCTCTGCTCAGCTTTTCCAAAAGCAACACGGTGCTCTGCTTTCCCTTTGAAGAACCACAGCACATCCAACGCTCCTGGAGGTTTTCACCTTCACTTGTGATTGTTTTGCAGTTTCCCAAGAGAGTTGAGAGGGAAAAAGTTGAAAAATGTCACCAGTTGTGTTCCAGTGTAAAGAGGAAAACAGAGACCATTGGAATTTCCGTCAGGGAAACATTTCTCAAATGAGCCTTGTGCCAAGAGTGGGCTGGTGGGAAGAGACAGGAGGGAGTCCAAATCATCTGGTTTAGACTTTCTGAGAGCATTTTGGTGCTCAGGGGTTGATGATATCTGTGTGCTAGAAAATGCATGTGTGCTGTGTCTGTGAATCCCAGAGGGCAGCACCTGGCCTGCTGGCTGCAGGCAGGAATGCCCAGCAGCCCAGCTTGCCTGCACAGGCAGCAAGAAGCCCTGGAGAGCCAAGATTGGCTTTAATACTGGAACCACACTGTCACTCAGTGCTGGTCATGTTTCTCCAGGCAGAAAATGCCTTTGAAGCCCAGAGTCAATAGGCACAGCCTGTCTGTGTTTCCATCACTTTTGGCAAGCTGAATGCTCTCATGGTTTTAAGATTCCTCCTTGCTGCTTTACTGCCCATTTAAATTCTCTTTGCCATCTCCTTGTTTTAGGGATTGTCTTGCTGTGTTCCTTCTTTTGCTTTTCAGGTTTACTTTTATTCCCAGGAAGGCCACAGTGGTTTGGTGTCCTCTCTTGCTGCTCTGCCTGCATGACTCTATCTCCACAACGTCCCTACCCAAACCTCATCTGCAAGAAGGGAATTTTTTCCTTCCCCCAGGACAATTTGATGCTTTGCTTTCAGGTAGCACATTCGCCCCTGGAACATGACAACTTCATGGCTGTGTGCAGGCAGAAGCCAGCAGGTTTTTTGGCCTTGTTGAATATGCAGATGACTTGGTTCAGGTGCTCTGTCTCCATCCTGCTGGTGCTGACCTGCTTGGCCCTTCCTTCCCACCAGGCACTGCCCTACTGGCCCTGGCCACAATGCTGGAGCCAGACAGGAGGGATTCAAGCTCAGCCTTGTGAATGATGTGCCTGTGCCTGCACAGCTGAAAGTGCTTTGGAAAAGGGGCCAGGGAGGGATGTCAGCAGGGCACGGACAGGTCTCCTCTCGTTTCCACAAGTGGCAAAATCATCATGTGATGTCTTTGCTGCAGATTGCTCAGATGGTGAAGGTCTGCATGGAGAGCTCACCTTACTTCCAGCTGGCCTGCCCCAGTGATGTGTACCACATCGTGCCACCAGGCGCCTCTGGCCCTGTGCGCATCCGCTTCAGCCCCGACGAGAACAAGGTGAGGCTGGAGGAGCCAAAGCACAGAATGATCTCCACAGCCATTGTTTTCCCTGCACTCTGCTCCAGCCCATTGCATGCTGTGAGCTGGGCTCCAGGCCCTGGGCAGGCAGCCTGCAGCAGCCAGTCACACCTTGGCACTGCTGGCAGGCACTGCAGCCAGGCCTGACAGGCTCTGCTTCCCCTCCCTGCACATCCCTGAGCATTCCCAAGGGAAGATGCACAGGGAACAGGATGAAAATGACAAAGAGATGTTGACAGTTGTTCAGCCATCTCTAGGTCCAGTGGAAGGGGTTTCATTATTATGGAAAACACTCGAGGGACAAAGAGGTCAGGGAGCTTTCCTCCTTCCTGACTGCCAACAGCTTCCCTGCCTGCCCCTGGGCTGGAGCAAAGACGGTGCTTTTTCACCCCCTCTGTTCTGCAGCCTTGCAGCTGTGCTGTCCCAGAGCACAGGTGACCAGGGCACAGCTGCAGGGGCAGGGCAGAGGATGTGCTGTGCCCGTGAGCCCAGCCTGGCACAGGCAGACTGGGCTCTGGGTGCCCTTGGTCAGCAGGAGGTTGCTGAGCTGCAGGGGACTTGGACACCTGCCTGAAGGAGCTCGTGTAGGGCAGGTACAAGCTGCAGGCAGAGCTGTGGGCCCAGAGCCTGTGGCAGTGGCACTGCTGGGGCTCTGTCTTCATGCCTGTCACTGTGCTTGCTCTGTCAGCTGGCACCCATTCCGTGCCAAAGGTGCTTCTGCATGGAGGTTTGAACGGCAGTGCTGAGGCCCTGGCAAGTCTGATCTCACTGCTGGCATCTGGAGACTTGTTCATCCAGAAGGGTTTAGGACATGGCATGGAAGGGAGGAAGCCTTGCAGGCAAACAAAGAGAGGCCCTTTCCAACAGCATCCTGCAACCTCTTAGCACTGTTCTTCTCCTGACTTGGTTGGAGAGGCAAAGTTAGAGGGGAGTTCTGAGCCAACTGATGTTTCTGCACCAGGCCAGAGGTGCAGGATCTCTTTGGGTGCAGCTGTTTTCTCATCTTCCTCTTGCTGCTTAGAGTCAGTTGAACACTTTGTCCTATTCTCAGACAGTGGGAATATAGAAACCTAAAGAGGAATGTGCTGTGTTCCCTAGCTCCATGTTCCTTAGAAGGAGCTTTGGAATTATTTAATATCATTAAAATTTGTGAGTGAAAATGATGGTGGCCTAGGGCAGTTCTCTGTATGACCCAAGTGACACAAGAGCTTAATGCCACTGGGATAGCTTTTGCAAAGGGCACTGGTGCCTTTAAAATGTGACATATTAGAAAAACTCAGTGTTCATTTTAGGGTGGAATAGGTAAATTGATGCCCGGCAAATTGATGCCATGGATGAGTTACAGGAAATGGTTTTTCTTCTGCCATGGGGATGGCACTAAATGCCCTGTGCTGAGCCAGTTTCTTTTCCTGCAGGATTATTCCCATGAGCTCACCTGTATCATGGCAAAGGAGAAGATCGTTGTGCCAATTCGGGCCATCGGTGCCCGAGCCATCCTGGACTTCCCTGCCCAGGTGGACTTCTCCGAGTGTCCGGTCAAGCACAGCACCCAGAAGACTCTGCTGGTTCGCAATGTCGGTAACCGGACAGCTCATTACCAGCTGAGCACCCAGAGGTGAGGCAGCTCATCTGTCCCTGTGCAAAGGATATCACCTTTGGGTGAGAGCAGAGTTGGGAAAGAGCAGCAAAGGAACCAGAGCATCAGAGCTGCTGCCCTGCAGCCCTGGCTGGAAGTGAGCAGGATGGATGGCATCTGCTCTTGCTTTCAGTGTTCTTAGCAGGATGCAGCCTTTGAGCTTTCTCTGTCCCAGATTTCCTGGAGGGTGCTGGAACACGTTGGTAGCTGGCTTGCTGAGCACAAGCAGCTTCTGAAATGCTTCCTCACCACTGCCAGCCAAACAGACCCATTCTCTGGGAGGCCCCAGGCACGTGGCTCTCCAGTGGTCCCTGCATCAGATGCCCAACATGAGCTGTGCTGTGGGCAGCTGGTGCAGTTCCTGTTCCTAAAGCTGCTCTGATTTCCCTTGTCACCTCAGAGCATCAGCTGCCTTTTCTGTTCCATGATGAACCTTTGAAAGCCAGTTTAAGATTTCAAACAGATGATTTAAATCTCTGAATAAGGCTGTGCCCCCTTTCATTGAGATTTCTTTTGGAATACTCTGAAGTTCCTGTGTTTCTGCTGTTTTTTCTTTTTGGTTTGTGTTAAATGTTTTCCAAAAGATCATGAACTCTTCACTGGGAGCTTTCATGAAGGTCGAGCTCCTCTAATGCCTCTCAATGTACCACATGCCCATAGGTATATGCACAGGTGTATAGGAAATAGGAGATATTTAGGGAAGATGTGAAAAGCACTTGGGCTGATTTAGAAGATAAAAGTAGAGAATAATTTCTGCTGGAAATCATCTGAGCAGACCCACTGCTCAAAGCAAGACCAGTGTCTGGGGATTGCAAGGTGCCATTGGGAGATCTGGACCTGTCTTTAGATGCCATACAAGAAAACAAACAAACAAATGGACCTAGTTAAAAAGCAGAAGAAAACAACCTATTAAAACCCCCTCCATAGCTTCTCTTTTCTGCCTGTTGGGTGCAATGGTGATTCATTGAAAGGGCAGCTCTAACAGGGTGAGAACTGTCTTAAGGAACAGCTCACAATTAACAGATAAAAGGCCAAAATTTAGCCTGCCAGCCCCATCTCTTGGCAGTGGTTTTCATTTGGTTCTGACAGTGTCAGGGATGTCTCCTTCACAGCTCTTCTATCTGTGGGCTCAGGGAACAGCTTAGTGATGTTGGCTGAAATGCAGATGACTGCTACAGCAGGAACAGAGGAGTCTAGTGGGTACAGCCCAGGGATGTAGGAGATGCAGGGGCTGATTTGCACTGAGTTTTTCAGTCCTGAAACTGAGTCCTGGACTTGGCTGGATCCTCTTCTCCTGATAATTTGAAAAGAGGAAGCTACCTTCTTTCTCAGGCAAGAGAGAAAGAAGTCACCCCTGAAGTCACCCCGAGGAGTGTTATTCCCATCCTGCCATCTGAGGGCAGGAACATGTAACATGGGGCAGCAGTGGGAAGGGAATGGAATGGAATGGAATGGAATGGAATGGAATGGAATGGAATGGAATGGAATGGAAGGTAGTGCTGAAGTGTGGCCAGGGATTCCCTTAAATGGCAGCTTCTCTGTTCTGGTGGAATTTCTGGCAAAAGAATAAGAAGAAAATCCCGTGCCTTGCCCCCAGCAGGCACTGATCCCCCCGAGCCCCAGCAGGGACCTGCAGCAGTGCTGGCATCAGCCCCGGGGCAGATGCAGGAGCACGTGCACTGATCTGGCTCTGGGGCTGCTGAGGCCTTGTCTTTCCTCCCCTCCCTCCAAAGTCTCACGTCCAGCACATCAACATTGCTGGCCCAAGGCTTCTCCATCAGGCAGTGATGGTCTCACCAGTGGGAATGGGAACAGCTCAGCCCATCATTGCAGCAAGAGGTCCTGAATGAGCTGAACCTGAAGCAAGTGACATCAATCAAGCTCAGCTTGCCAGATGTTCTCTTTATTTCTGTGTGGGATGTAATCATCACCAAACTCCCCAGAACAGACTTTTAAATGACAGATTGACCAGCAGCAAAGCACCCAGGCCAGGAACTTTTGTTTCCTCAGTGGGGCTGGAGAAGAGCACAAAGCACATTTCCCCTGAGCTGTCCCTGAGCATCAAAGCACAGAGTGCTTGTCAGGCAAGAGCTCTTTACCTGGTGACCAATCCTGATGGCTCCTGTTAAATCCAAAGTGCACCAACACATTTGCATTAACATTTCCAACACCTCACACAGAGTTTCTCTGCTGGGCCAAGCAACAGTTACCAGCCTGGAGAACAAGCCACAGTCCCAGACTGCATTGCTGGTAAACACACAGAAACCTCCTGTTCTGCTTCCTTGATGTGCTCCTGCTCATGGTGCTTCATTTAGCTGGCATGGGCTCCTTCAGACTGTAAATAGCATCCTCCTTTTGGGTTTCCATGTCACTCTATTGCTCTAATCTGCATTTGCACTCTTTCAGAGTTTTGACTGCTCCTTTTCTTAGAGCAGCTTTCATTGAAATGTTGATTAAATGTGCCCTTTTTAGGCTAAATCAGGATATTTTCAAGGCAAAAGAAACCAAAGAATCACACTGCAAATTCTACTGTAACTATTCCTTGGTCTTCAAGGAAAAGTTCCTTCTCCCTGTCTGATTCCTAGGCTGTAATATCCCAGGACAGGTAGTGCCCTAACATCTGCATCTCCTGAGATGAGGCTTATAGGCAGCAGGAAAAGAGAAATTCCTGAGGCAGTCAGTGTCAAGTTCTGCATGCAGATAGCTCTGAAGCCTCTCTGTGCTCTTCACAAACCATTCTCTGATGGGATTGCTGGCAGTGGGACCCTTGAGCCTCATTGCAGAGAGCTGGATGCAGAGTATGGGGGAGCTGAGGTCATTTTACCCCCAGGATCTTGTGAGGGCTGGATCTCCTCAGCAGTGGCTCAGTGGCTGTTTCTGAGCCTGTCTGTTCTGTCCTCTGCTGCCTGTGCTTGGTTTGCTCCCTGCTTGCCCAAGGGAGCTGCAGTGCAGCAGGAATCTCCTGGCCAGGTGTCCCCCCAGCCCTGATCCCTCTCTTTGTGTTGCAGTCCTTTCTCCGTGGTGCCGACCGCAGGAACTCTGGCTGCTGGGGACACCATGCAGGTGACAGTGACATTTCATGCGCTGACCAACGGGGACCATTTTGGGTCCCTGTGCTGCAACACAGGTGAGTGCTGGCCCTTGCAGGGCACAGGACAGTTCTCCACATGGCTCCCTGTTGTTCCTCCCCCTGCATTCCCTCCAGAGGTACCTCCCTGTTCAGCTTTAGCCCAAAGAAAACTGAAAACTCCTTGGTGTTCAGGGGCTTGAGAAAGTGGATCCCGTCTAAAGGGTGAAGATTTTTGATTCCTGTTTTGCTGGGAGTTGTTGAGTGGAGGAAGGAGGATCCCTGATTCTCCACTACCATGTGGCTATGCCTGGGTGAAGTTTTATTTGATTCCTGGGCCGTGCTGGATGTGAGGTCTCCATCAGACTCTCTCCAATGCAATGGATTTCTTGCACACCTCTGTCCCATATGCTGCTTCTCCACTGGCTTGTCACACATCCTTTTTCTATGTGGCCCTTACACATAGATGTAGTTTCTGTCTAATAACATTTTCAGGCCCTCAAGTTCCTGTTTGGTGACAAATCAAGACCAATTTTTCCCTGTGCCCATTTCCCAGGCTGTTCATGTTGTTACAAACCTCTCACATCTATCTCCCATTTGATTTCTAGACTGAGGAATCCCATTCAGTCTTAATGTAGAAGCTGCTCTGTACTTATTAATCTTTCTATTGTCCCTTTTTTATTTAATGTGCAATGCGCCAGCTTGGTTTTTGAGATCAGAACAATAGAAAATATTTCAAGACTGATGTGGCTGTGGGTTTGGACAGGGAGATGATGATGATGATTTTCATGGTGTTCATTTGAGAGTGGTTTGTCATATTGCAGAGCCAGGCTGGTTGTGTTTCCTCACCTGTGTCCCCTCCTGCTGTGCGCTGTCACTTCACTTGTTCCTCTGGGCCTCCTTTTGCTGCCCACCTGCCCCCAGGCATATTTGCTGGTCAGCAACAAGGGATCCAAGGGATCAGGAGAGATGGGAGTCTCGTGGGATGCCCAGGGAGACCCTGGGCCAGGCAGGGCTGAACAGGGCTCCTCACCCTGTCACCTGAAGGACTTGGATGCAGAAATCCCAGTGATCTGAGTGGGTCACCAGAGCACACTGACCAATCCCACTGTCCATCCTGTCACCTTGGGGCCAAAGCTCTACAAACACACTCAGAACTAAGGGGTTTAAGGAGCTGCCCAGGACATCCTCACCACTCTACACACAGAGCTGTCAGGATGTGACAAATGGACTGATCCACAGAACTGCTCATTCAGATAAAAACTGTGACACCTTCTTTTGTGCCCTGGGATTTGTTCTGTTCCTTGTGCTTCCATCAGCCAGTGAGCTGAGCAAAGACTCCCCTTTGCTTTGTTCCAGGTGAAGAGAGTATCCACACAAAGCTCCATGGAGAAGCTGTAGATGTTGATGTTGTGTTGAGCACAAATTCCGTGGAGGCTGGCAAGACCTTCATCACCATGGCATACCAGACAACCGTGTTCCTGGAAAACAGGAGTAACATCACAGCCCACTTCCAGTGGAAGGCTTTGCCTTCTGAGGAAGATGACTATGAAGAGAAGAGGAGGTTGGTTTGGAAGATGCATTTCAGTGAGATATATGGCCCAAGACTGAAACTAACCTATGGCCTCAGGGGGGTGTTGGTGCTTTTGAATGGTTTAGGCCAAGTAAACCATGCCTGGCACTGGGGTGTGTGTCCCTGGGCTTCAGGAGCTCAGCACTCAGCATTCCAGTTCCATTTATACTCCAACCAGGAATGGCATTTTGGGAAGGAAAGGTTGGTTGCAATGACTGATTTCCTCAGGTTCTAATTGGGCTCCTGTCTCTCTAATCTTCTTCCTACATGACCTGGCAACATCTCCCCTTCCCAGGGAAGGTGGGATGCTCTGTGACCTTTATGTGCATCCCCCAAGCAGCTCAGTGGGAGGAAAAGCCAGCTGAGGTGGTCGGTGGATTCTCCCTCAGTTTTGGCAGAGGCTTTGAGCCAGGAGGTTTCTCTGGAGGGATGTTGGCTTTGGAAACCTCTCCTGAGCTTGCAAATGTGGGGTGAAACTCCCTGCTGTGCCAGTGAACAACAAGTTATCCTCTGATCCTTGTGGGACCTTCGTGGCTTGGCTCAGCCTTTGCTGGGGAGCTGCTGCTGCTCCTCCCCAAGTGCTTTGCTCTCCTGCACTCCCACTTCTCTCTGCAAATCTGTGGCTTATTAAATGATCAGCTGGCCTTGTCTCTCCCTGGGGCTGCAGGCAGTGTCGTTTGCTGCACCCATCGGGTGAGGAGTGGCTGGAAAACTTCACGGAGGAGAAAGAAGTAGAGAAGGTGCAGGGCTTTTCTGAAGATCACACTGCCCTCCTGAGAAGCAGGGTCCAGGAGAAGAAGGCAAAGGTGCAAGATGACCCCCTGCTGTTCGCCAGTGACATTTTTTTCATTGAGCCATTGGTAAGTGACACCCGAGAACCTCATTTTCTTCCTCTTCCTCTTCCTCCTCCCAAGCACCATTCCCCCGGCTGCAGTCACTGGGCAGATCCTCAGCTGGCCCCATGTGCTGGCAGGGAGGATGTGGAGTTTCTGGAGCGGCTGCAGAGCTCCCTGCTCAAAGCATTTGTGCCCTGCAGGCTCAAGGCAGGGCTGGGAGCCTGACACAGCCCAGCTCTGCTGCCAGGCTGGAGCTCAAGGCCCTGTGTGCGTGTCCTTGCAGTGTCACAGGGAGCAGTTCCTGTAGGCAGGGGCTCCCCCCACACGTGGGGCTCAGCAGAGGCTGTTGGAGCACTGCCAGCTCACACACTGACCTGAAGCTTGCAATGGTTCCCTGGCAAAAGGAGGCCAAATTCAGCCCAAGGTTAATGACAGAAATGCCAATCCCCTCCTGTAACCATGCCTTGCACTATTGCTGGCTGTCCCTTCCAGTGTCATCCTTGTGTGAGCCTGGACACAAGGGTGCAAGGCTGAAATGGGCCTTTGGAGTTCTCCTGCACACAGGGACACAAAACCTTTTCCTTTTCTGGTGATGCAAGCAAAGTGCCACGTGCTCCCATCAGCCAGAGCCCTGATTCTGAGTACTGGCATTGGGAGAGATGATGAATGCCTGGTGTCTGCACGGAGCAAAATCCCTTCTCATCTTGCAGTAAAGCCCAGAATAATCCCAACCTCTGCTTTCTTTCAAAATAGCTTAACTAATATCTGTAGTTCAAGGAAGGGGATCATGTTCTCTTCTTGGTTACTCCTATGGCCCATCTAAGGCCAAGAGCCACCAGTGCCCAGTGGCACTTACATCCCATGGAGCTGACAGCAGCATGATGGGACCAAGAGCTTGTGTCAGAGCAGCAGGAATATTGTGGAGAGTGGCAGCTGATCAGCTGAGCATTGAGAGCTTCCAGCGCTGTGTTGAGCTGGGTTTGGAGGCTTTCCTTGGCTGCTTGTGTTGTTCACTCATCATTGATGCTCAATCAAGGCTTACAGGCCTGTGGTTGGAAACAAGAAATGTGGAGTTTGAAGAGCAATGCTTTGCTGTCTCTTTCTGTTGTAGGAGGGAGAAATTGGGCCAAATTGTTCGGCTGAAATCACGGTGACCTTCAAAGCCCTGGAAGCACTGGAGTATCAAAGTGTGGCTTACTGCCATGTCTCAGGTGCAGCTCCTTTGCCCTGCTCCTGTCCCCCTCAGTGAAGCCATGGTGCAAGCCTGAGCCCACTGGGCTCCCATGGAAGTGCTGGCAAGAGTCCCTGGTCAGCAGGGCAGTGCTGGCACATCCCCCCTGGCCCTGCAGCCTCCAGGGAGTCTCCTGTGCAAGGCCAGGGCTCAGAATGCTGGCTCTGCCTTACTGATCCCAGAACAGCCCAGGCAGTGCAGGGAGAGGTTTTCATGCCACGGCTTTGCCAGCATTTCCTCAAAGGCCAGAGAGCTCCAGAGCAGAACAGCTTTAGTGAACAAGCACTAAGCCCCTGCAGGCCCCTGGCCTCCAGGATGGGTCCATTTGCCATGGATCCATCATCAGGTGGAAGGAGCTGAGTTAGAAATGTGCTCCCTGGCCCTGGATCACCTCCCAGTGCCCAGACAGCAGCAGAGCAGAGGTGGCTGAGCCCCACTGAGCACAGGGTGTTTGTAGAAGGAGCACCCTTGGCCAGCAGCTGCTTCTCTGCCTGTGTGGGAGTTGTCCCCTTGCAGCTCTCACTCTGTGGAAACAGAACACAGTGCTGAGTGTCAGAAGGGGAGCACTTGGGCAACAAAGGCCTGTGCTCCTGGCCCGGGTAGTTTGGTAATTGCCAAACTCATCATGAGCTTTTGTGCCTGCACTGAATGGATTTCAAAGCTCCTCTAGGTGCACGGGAAGGAAACCACAGAATCACAGTAGGATGAGGGTGGGGTGGACCTTAAAGATCATCTAGTGCCAAGGCCCCTGCCATGGGCAGGGACACCTCCCCCTAGACCAGGTAGCTCCAAGCATGAGTACATCCAGCTCAGAGTCAGGGACTAGCACTGAGGCAGCCTGGAAAATCCAATGTGACAGAGGGAATGATTGTACTGCAATGGACATCTCTCCCCAGGCCGTGAGATCAGGCTGCCCCTGTGCCTCAGAGGGGAAGGCCAAGGACCCCTGGTTGAACTCAGCTCTCCTACGCTGAACCTTGGGAATGTTTTTGTCTACACCCCCTATGTCTATGAGGTGAGCAGCAGGGCTTGGGATGGATCCTGATGGCTCCTGAGGCAGCAGCAAGCCTGGTGGAGCTGTGGAATTGCTGCCAACCTGGGCAGCTGTGAGCAGGGAATATTTGATGTACTGCTCAAACCTGGGGGGTCAGAAACGTGTGTCTGTTGTTCCTGAAGGCCCAGTCCCTGCTTTTGGGCAGCCTTCCTTAGGGATCAGCTGGGAGGCTTCCTGCAAAACAACCCCTTGCCACATGAAACCAACACTGGGTCAAAAAGCTGCATGTTCAGAGGCTTTTGTGGCAGTGCCAGACACAAGGCACCTTTGGACTGGGCTCTGCAGAAGCAGCTGCAACAAACTGGCTGCCTTTGAGCTTCAGCCCACTGCAAACAGCTTCCAGTCAAGTGTCCCTGCTTATTGCTGAAGTCACAGGAAATCCATCCAGCCTCCTGGCTCAGTGCTGGCCATTGCAAAGGGCTTGGGAGTTCTCTCCCTTGCTGACCAGTCCCTCACCACACTTCAGCCTTGGTGCATCTCTGGCTCTGGAAGGAGAAAAGTGTTCCTGGGAATAAAGCAAAGGATTTTTCTACCTATTTGCCTCCCCCCCAATAGTGTCAAGTTTGCAAAAAATTCATGAGAGAGCAACTCAAAGAGGTAGAAAATGAGGCACTACATCATGCCAGACACTTTCAAAAGCGCGACTGGGGAAGGGAAAGACACGCTGAGTTTTCTTACCAAAGGATGGTGCTGTCTGTACATTTTGATGCTGATGCCTCATTCTCAATGAATTGTTTCCATGGTATGGGAAAGGTGAATGAGTAGATGGTGCTGTTGGAGCTGTGCTCGCTGGGGCAGCAGCAGCTCTGGGGTGATTCACTCCGCAGCTGCAATCACCCCACTCAGGGCTCTCAGGGCCAGCTCCCCATGAGCTTGGTGATGCTGAGCAGAGGTGCACTGCTCTGTGTCCATGGGATAAGCCCAGGGTGCCTGCAGGTCTGTGGAGTTGCCACTGCTCTGCATGAAAACCCAAAGGCAGAACTTGTCCTGTTGTATCTTTTGACTTCTGCCATTCAGCAGCACAAAGCATCTTCTGCCTTTGCTGGGTGTTCATTGCATCATTAGACAAGAACTCACAAGAAGGGAAGGTTCCACCTGTATTTCCATTTTGCTTTCTTGCTTCTGCAGGTGGAACTGATTAACCAAGGAGCTCTTGATGCTCCCTTCACCTATATCCCTTCAACCACAAATGTGGACTTCTGCTTCACGGTTGAGCCCGAGCAGGGCATGATTGCACCAGGTGGGACCCAGACTGTTCAGATCTCCTTCCATACCACCGTGCTGGGGAGCTTTGAGGAAAAATTCCAGTTCAGTGTGGCTGGATCTCCTACACCTGTGATCCTGACCATCAGGTAAGGACTCTGGGAGCTTGGTGGGCACATCTGTAGCTGTCTCTGGGACATCCCCCACCTACCTCATTTTGGGGTTGAGCAGAGAAAAAAGGTGATGCCTGAGGTCTTAATCTCTGCTGTGATCCTGGCATTGCCTTAGTGTCAGGATGCCTCCTGCCCTGTGTGGTACCCAGGAGCTGCAATGACTCCTCCCTGCAGGGATCTCCCTCTGCCTTGGGCCATGGCAGGCAGTGGGATGGAGCAGCTCTGGGCAGCAGCTGCTCTGGGATGTCCCACCTGAACACCCAGCAAGGCCCCCAGGGCTTTGCAGATGGGCCAGCCTGGGGGATTCTGCCCCAGCAGCAGTGTTTTTAAAAACTTCCATTAATAATCCATCCCAAATGGGCAGCAGCAGCCTCAGCTCCCCTCTCATGGCCATGCTGTGGGGGACAAGCTGTGCTCCCAGCTCCTGTGCACAGAGTGCTCTGGTGCCTCCTTTGCACAGCCAGCAAAGGGCTGATGTGGGAGTCAGGAACTGTGCAGCAGGAACTGTGCCAAGGACTGGGGTACCATCCCATGGGCTGGTGCCATGGCAGGAGACAATCCTGGCCCAGCCAAAGGGAGAAGGGCTGATCACAGGGGAGGCAGAGCTCAGTCCTCAGCACCACAGCAGTGTGAGGCCTTGTCCCTGCCAGCCTGAGCCATGTGCTGCTGGGATAATGCAGTGGAAGCAGGAGAGCTGATGCTGGCTGCTCTGCAGCTTTGGAGCTGGGCTCCTGCTGTTGGGGGGCACTGGCTCAAGGCAGTAAAGAAATGAAAGCAATCTGCACTTGATTGTACCAATAAGATAAGGGAGATGGATAAAAAGGAACAAGGAAGTTATTATTTGGCAAGAGAAAAGTGATGAGTAGGTCTGCACATAGTTGAGAAACAATTATGCTGGCTTTGTTTTTGGAGGAAAAGTGCTGCTTTTTTAGTTTGGAAATCAAGAGGGAACATTTCACCAGTCCTTTCCTCTAGGATTCACCTGTCCCCTGGGTAGAACTGTTGCTGCTCTTTTCAGAGGATGTTTGGGGCTCCCCTGGATTCATGTCTCAGAACTGTGTCTGTAATGATTGTGTGGGTCAAACTCTCCTGAGAAAGCTCCTCCATGGGAACAGCAGTTGCAGCTAAGAAGGAGCAAAGCAGGGAACCTGTGGCTGGAAAGGCTGGTTACAGAAGTTTGTGGGGACACCTTGATGTCCATCCCATTGCAGCTGGGGAAACTGAGGCACGGAGCCATGTCTGGGTGTGTGTTCAGGGTCCTTCATGGGACCCCCAGCATCCCAGGGGCTTCTCCTGCCTGCCCATCAGGGGCTGTTGGCTGCTGGCCACTTGGCTTGAGCTGCCTCCTGTGCACAGGGCCCTGTGCTGAGCACACGGTGCTGTGTTTGTTGGAAACCCAGGGTGCCCTGAGCCCAGGTTTTGTGCCCCGAGCCACGACAGCCGGACCTTTGCAATGCCTTTAACCGAGCCCTTTCCTGCTCTGTCCTCGGCCTCCAGGGGCAGCGTCACTGGACCGAATTTACACTTCGACCTCCCTGAGCTCGACTTCGGGGACATCTCCTTTGGTGAGTGTTGCCTGGGCTGGGACACAGCGTCAGGGATCTGTGCTTTCCAACAGAAAAGCATCCCTCACTCCTGGTCTGCCCCAGCAGCCTCTTCAGGCTGTCAACTGCTGCTGCCTCAGGGGGCATTTTGCCATTGTGAGATCAAATAGAACCAAGGAATAGAAAGGCAGTATTTTCTAGTGTCTCTGTCCTGCTTTAAAAGACAGATCCCCACCATGTGTGGCGGTATCTCTGGCTTTGCAGGATGGAAAGCAAATCTCAGAGCCAAAGTGGGGATCCCCTTGCAGGCACAATCACAGTGAGCAGCATGGCTGTGATGTCCCTGTTTGTTGGGTGAGGTGGGACATGGTTCCTAATTGCTAATCTCAAACCAAGGCTGGGGTTTGCCCCCAGTTGAGTGGACTCTGAGCTGTCATGTGCTCAGTCTGTTTGGCCCAAACCAGGAGATGCTTTAAGGGTCCTGCAGAGAGAAACTGCATTAAGGTGCATCACATTCTAGTTCCTGATTCCATCCTCATTTTCTTTTGCTGTAGCTTCTTCTCAATGACAACTCACTGTTTATGTATCGTGAAAACAGTGGGAATGTTGGCAGACTTACCAGGGAATTTGACAGCTTGAATTCTCAGAGTAAATGCTGGGTCTGGGTGCACACTCATCACTGAGAGATAACTGTTGCTGGTTTGGGGCAGGGGAGGGAGCTCCTTCCCCTCCCAAAGAGAGAAGCTTGCAGTGTTCAGCAGGGCTAGGAGTGGGCATTTTCAAGGCTGCAGTCTGGAATCAGTGTCAAAGGGAACTCAGTGATGATTAATTCCTCATGCAGCTTCTCGGTGAGCTGTAGTTCAGAAAATAAAGAGCTCAACTCCAATCTCACTTTTATCCTGGCAGGATATTCCCACCAGGATCATGCCATAATGGGTGCCTGAATGGATATTTGTGTCCTTTCCTAGGCTTTCCCTATACCCAGAGATGTCGCCTCACCAACTGCTCCATGGTGCCCGTGACATTCAAGCTCCGCATGTCGGACGATGGCACGCAGCCGGCTGTTGACAGCCTTGATCAAATACGCAAAGAAGGTGACCCATCCTGGAGGAAGGGAATTCATTTCTATGTGGAGCCAAGGGAGTTCACAATGAATCCCAGCCAAGGAACCATCCTCCCCCAGGGACACCAGGACATTGAGGTATGGGAAGAATCCAGCCGTAGATGCTTCAGCACCAGGGCTGAAGCTTCACTGGAGTGTGGGAGGGCTTTAGCTCTGGTGCCAGCTTTGAGCATCATGGGAGTGAGAGATCTGCACTGCTGGGAGGCCTCTGCTAGCTGGCTTAGCCGGGATGTTCCTCAAGGAGCACTGGTTTGTTTCCAAAATCCTACACTGAGATCAATACCATATGGTCAAGTCCTGAAGCCATTCTTTTGCTTTTGAGAGCGATTTCTTTGATTGCAAGTGGGCAGAGCAAGGATGAAGGCAGAAGGTGGCTGTCAGAGAGATGTCATTGTATAAAGCAGTTAGCTTTTCTTCTTGGTCTCATTTTCCCTCTCCTGAGGAGCAGAAAAATTTGTGTTCACTGCAGGGATCTCCAGTGGAGACAAAAACCTCTGCAGCCATGTGTTGCGGTTCAAATTGATTTTATCGATTCCTTGTTCTGTTGTACACCCATGTTCTCCCTGAGTTGGCTCACGCCTGTGTTTTACCCTCCCTCAATGCTGTCCCTCATGCCGTTCCCTGCCCCTTGTTCCAGCTCTTTTCCCTGCCTGTCTAGGCAACCCAGCCCCTTTTGTTCCCAAACCTTCTTTGCCACTTGAACCTCGGGCCAATCCCTGATTGCAATACCCCTTTGGAATTCCCCTATTCTTGGAGACCCCATTGGCCATGTGACCCATCCTCTTTACCCTCCTACCCCCAGTGGTCCCAGACACTTGATGTAATCCCCTCACTCCTCCCCTGAGGATTCCCTATTGATTTGCTGTTTGTATCCACCCCCTGATTTGTATTTTTACAAAAGCCCTGGCACAGGAGTGTCCAGGGCTCTTGTGCCTCTGATTCCTTTATTTGGAATAAACCCTTCCTTGTGGAACTTCAAGACAGAGAGCCTCCTCCTTTCTCCTCTGCCTGGTCCCTGTGGTGGCTTGTCTCTTGCGCTGTACAGCAAGTGGCTCTGAGGGCTCTGCCTCTGGTAAATGCCCACCCTGGGGCAGTTCCCCACTCCTGGCGTGGTGCCGGAGTTCTAAGAGCCAGCCCGGGCTCTGGGTACCATGGCAGCCATGAACTGCCCAGCACCTGCTGGGCCACACTTTGCCCTCAGCCTTCTGCTGTAAAGCTGAACTCATTGTGTTCAAGTCAGATTTCCTCTGCATTTATGTCATTGTAGTCAGATGAGAAATTGGCCCCTTAATTTGAATACAGTGGTGTGTAGAGCTTTAGTCTAATGTTTTAATGAAGCTGACCGATGCTGTGATAGCAAGGTGTGTTTAACAAATCTGCTATTGCCAGAAGGCTTTTGTTACTCTGAGACTCTGCTCTACACATGGACCAGCAGAAGAATTAAAGCCAAATCCTTCCTCAAGAACTGGAGGATGTCACATGTGGGTAATGAGCTTTTGTAAGGAAGAATTGACTGTTCTTTTTTCTACCAGGTGACCCTGTGTTCCAACACCGTGATGGAATTCTACAGGAGATTGCTGGTGGACCTGGAGGGTTTTGGTGAGGGAGTGGCATCAGTGGTCATCACAGCCAGGTACCAGCCCTTCCTGGCCTCCCCCAGGCACTGCCTTGCACAGGCTTTGCTGGCTGCAGCTGCCAAGGAGAAGAGCTGCTTAATGGCCTCATGTTGTGCCAGCTGGACATGAGAACAGCAGTGCTTGGACAGCAGCCTGTGGTGAAAAGCACCCCTGCTCACAGCCCAGCACAGTCCTGGCCCTTTTCTAAAGGGACCAGGAATGGTATCATTGATTGGCCTGGGTTTTGGTGCTTGAGGTGGAACAAATTTCCCGAGGGCCTCCTCTCCTTCTTCCTGCAAGAGGTGGAGTTGTGCTGGTTGTGACCACCCTGCATTGGTTTGGGACACACCAGGCAGCCTGCTGAGAGTCAGGGTCTGGTTCTGTTCATGAGGGCACATGACAGGGGAAAGTGGCTCCCAGCAAGAGTGGGGAGGGCAAGGTCTTATGAGGGGAAAGCAGCCCTTGATGTGGCAGGTCAGCTCCAGTTATTCTCCTTCCCTCTGCTTCCCATTTTGAGCTTTCATGTTCTCAGACTTAAACCAAAAGTCGTTCTTGCTGCAGCAGAATTCCACGCTGCTGTGCTGCTGTGGGTGTCAGTGTGATGCCAGAGGGATGCAGCTCCCTGGTGCTGTTCCCTGTCCCAGGCAGAGCCATGCAGGCAGTGCCTGGGCTGCCATGTTGTCAAGCAAATGGAGCTGGGGCCAGGCAGGGCCTGGAGCTGTGCAGTGAAGGAGCCAGGGAGCTGCAGGGCCTGGCAGGGGCTGATCAGCCCCTCTGTGGGGCAGCTGCTGTCTCGTGCCCTCCAAGGCTGGGGCCAGCAGCTGAGTTGTCAGGCAGGGCAACAGCACCATGGGAGAGAAGGGAGTCATTTTTATAAGACACTAGGGTTGTGTGTTCCTTGAGCCTTAGTGAGCCCTGATCCTTGTTGGGATGGCTCCCCCAGAGCTCGTGGGTCACTGGGACTGTTCCAGGAGTCCTTGCAAGCCTTCTTGGGTAAACGAGGGGCTGAGGCAGCTGTGGCTCAAAGTGCTCTGCCTGGGGCACTGGGCAGCCTCTGGGTGCTGCCTCTCAGGGTTTGCCCCTCCTTGACAAGACGTGTTGGAGTGGGAAGAGGTAGAAGGCAATTTATCACTGTAGGGCTGTTCAATGTGTGCATTTGACAGTGACCAATGTGTTCTGCTCCATTGCACAATCTTTGGGGGGAAATGTTCTCCATTCTCTCAGTATCTCTGATTCCCCTGGGGTCATCTCTGTGCCCAGATGTCTCGTTCCTGAGCTCCAAGTGTCCTCCCCAGTCCTGATGTACGATGAGTGCCACCTGAAGGTGCCGTATGAGAGGAAGATCCTCATTAGGAATCCCAGCCACCTTCCTGGCTGCTACGGGCTCATTCCCCAGGTTTGGCATCACATCCACCTCCTTCTGTCAAATAATACTGAGGAGATTATTAAGGGAAAAAAGGGTTTGGGTAAGACCTTGCTGGTTTCTATTCAGCCTTAAAGATCTGCTGAGAGCAGAATCCTACCCAACTGCAAACTTTAGGAGGCAGTTGAAGCTCCTGAGGAAACAGTTGATGTTCTGGTCTTCAGGGTGTTTTCATGTGGGAGATCTTAGAGGGTTGTGAAAAGCTGCTGCATCCACAGACACCAATGCCTGTGCTGGCAGCCTCCTTGCAGGTTCCCCTGGGAGTGCTAAGCCTACAATTCTTGCATCTTGTGTGTGCCTTTTACCTTTGTGCTGGGGAGTTTGAAACGTGTGTGTAAGTTGCTGTTGCGGTGGATGTTAAGGAGTCTAAAGTTCCTTCAGAGGTGTCTCTGAAGCTGCATTTCATTCTGTCCCTTCCAGAAACGCAAGGAGGACTCTGCTGTGCTCTACTCCAGCCCCAAGCCCTGTGGGATTGTGCAGCCCCAGAGCACAGCAGAGATCCCAGTTGTGGTGGAAGTGCAGGCCCTGGGCACTCATCGCACCAACGTTGCCATCGGCGTGTTCGGGGATGAGAGAAACCCACTGGTGAGGGCAAGGGGAGATGTGAGCCTGTGTGCAACTGCTCCTGGCAGGGTGCACAGGGACAGGGATTCTGCCGGGGAAAACAGGCCCAGGCTGCTGGGGAGAAGGACAGGAGGGATGGGGGGCACAAACAGCTCCTGCCTTAGAGGTGGCAATCTCAGTGTCTGACACAGAATGGAGCTCGGCTAAACTGGAATCCAGGAGCATTTGAGTTCATTCTTCTTTCAAATGCTGTTAACTTTGGAAACATCTGTTTGAAAATGTCATCTCTCTGAGCACAAAAGAGGACGTCAGAAGACTTCTGGGAACCTTGAGCTTTCTGTAAAAGAAAGGAAAGCTGGCATTTGAAGGGCGGTTGCAAGGATTGAAACTTATATTAAAACATATGGAAATGGCGATGCCAAATTCCCTGGATGGCACCAGACATCGGAACCTGGGCCATTGTGGCACTGCCTGTAAATCAGTGAACAGCAAGGACAGGCAATGCAGGTGTGCCAGGGAGCCTGAAGTTTGACCAAACAGTTGCTTTCAACTATCAGGCTGCTTCCCTCAGAGAGGAGGGTTTCTCCCCACCAGAAGGACCAGTTGTTTAACTGTCAGCCTGGTCTTAACTAGAGATTTCTTGCAAAGGTAAAAGCTTTGGGCCAATAATTTTTAGTTGGAAAGGTTCTCTTACCTTAATCCTTTTTGATTTGGAGGTGAACATGTAATTTTCTTTTTCCCCAAAAGCCCAGCATTTCAGCTGGAGAGTGGTAGCTGTCCCTAAAGAAATAACTTGAGCAAGGTTGAGCTGTTGAAGGGTTTTTAGGTTTCCCTGTTGTGGTTTGTTTTGTGTTTTTTTTTTTTTTTTTAAATCTTTCTTGCTTGCTTCCTGGAACAGAGAGCACAACTACGGAGCTCAGGACAGCTGGCAGAAATCTCCCCAAGCCCAAGGCTGGCAGAGCTTGGCAGGATCCCAGCACCACAGCCTGTGTATGTATGGATGGATGGATGGATGGATGGGGAATGCGACCTGAGTCACCTGGGAGTGTTGGGAAATGTCAACCAACCCCCCAGCAGTGTCAGGGGAACATTCCTGATAAAATCCCTGGTGGAGCTGCAGAGTTTCTGGCCTTGGGCACTGGGGGGGATCTGCTGGCTGGGCACTGGCTGGGTCTGGCCCTCGGTGCCTCAGATCTCACCTTTTTGCTGCCTTCTCTGTCTTTCCCTCTCCCACCGTGCTTTCTGCATCCCCACCCGGTGTTCATGCCTGTCCTCTGCAGTTGCTCAATGCAAGCAGTTGCAGCTGCTGCAGCAGCTCAGGGTCATCCCTGGGCTGCCTTTAGAACAGACCTGCTCCAGCCTGGATTGGGAAGGGCTGGATCAAACCATTTCTCAGGTCAACATGCCAGCACCCACCCAGGGGCTGCATCCTGGCCAGGAGCTGCTCGTGCAGGTGTCCCTCCCTCCCACTGCAGGTCCCTGTTCATAGTTGTGTTCTTTTCCAGATGTGAGCCTTACCCATCTAAATTCCAACCCCAACCACCAAAGGGGAAGAGACCCAGTTTGGATTCCTCGGCATCTCTATTGAGACGCTTCAGGATTAGAAATGTGGAGGAGGCAGCCACAGCCCTGAAAGAATCGTGGGGTTTTGCCCAATCTCCAGGAGCAGAGGTAGATTTTCTTGTACCGCTACTGCTTGTGCTGCCTCCCCAGCCTGCCAGCACCAAGTCCTGCTCATGCTGAGCTCCCTTTTTGCTGCCCTGCTGTGCTGTGCTGACAGTGGGCTGGGCAGCAGGGCCAGTGGCTGGGTATGGGCTGTGTGGGAGGGAGAAATAGGAGAGTTTTCCTTGGAGAAGCTGACTCAGAACCTACAGACCTGTGCTGAGTGTGGGATTTTTTTGCCTTGTTTCTTTCCCAAAGTAAGATGAGGCTTTTCTCTGCATCATCATGGTAACACCTCCAGCTTCCTTCCCAGAGCCAGCTGGGATGATCCTGATCTCCATGGAGCCTCTTCCCAAGGCAGCCAGACTCCCTGTTTGCAGGGCTCTGCTTTCACCCAGAGCTGCTGCTGCACTGCTGGCCCTGAAGCTGTCTCACAAAGGGAGACTTTGCAAAGTGGCTGTCTCTTCCTCCCAGCACAGAAAATGGCATGTTTTCCAGGTGCCAGCACCAACTCCTGCAAACCCTCACCTGCCACGAGGCTTGGAGGGATTCAGGTGCTCCCTGAACGTGGCGCACGCTCCCCTGGGAGCGGAGAAGGCAGGAGGGAATCTGTCTCACTGCCCATTGTGAGTGTGGCCAGCAGGGCTGGAGCTGCCAGTGCCGCTGGGGGCCCTCAGCATTGGCCACAGAGGGGCCTCCCATCCCTGCAGGCCCATCACAAAGGGCTGCTGGAGCAGCTGCTTGTTGGAGAGGCCGTGCAGGACACGTTGTAGGGCTGCCCAAGGACGCTGTGCAGCACCTGTGGAGGGCACTGCTCCCCCTGGAACTCCTCAGGTGCTCCACAGGAAGTTTTTGCAGGCGCTTTTGCTGTAGCACCTTGAGAAAGCAGCATTTAAATCAGAGAGAGAGGGGAAGAGCCTTAGGAGTCAGATGAGCTGGGCTGAGCTCCTTCCCTCAGCTCCAAGAGCTCTCACTCTGAGTCTCCTCCTTTTCTAAAAGCAGGAAGTTTTGAAACTTTTTAAAGGCAAGTTGTGCATCAGAGAGAATTTCTACTGCCAGGAGACATCCCAGGTCACTTTCATGTAATGTACTAATTAATGCATTGACCCGTGAGGATGGGAGAAGATTTTCCCCATGGTCCCTGCACTGGTCAGTGGCATGGATGCAGGATGAGGTGAGGGTGATTCTGGCAGTGTTTGGGGAATAGGCCCCTCTAGCTACAGCTGCACTTTGCTCCAAGATGCTCTTCTGCATCCATTTCCATGCTCAACAGCTCAATCTCTCCTGTCTTCCACCCAGGCTTTCAGTATCCTGCCAGTGCCAGGTGTGCTGCAGCCAGGAGAGAGCCAGCAGGTCTCCTCCACCTTCTCTGGCCACCTCAGCAGCACCTGCAGTGTCCCGGAGCTGTGCCACGTGGAGGGAGGCCCCAGCTACGAGGGGCTGGTGCCCGGGGAGGCCTCACGTGTCAGCTCCTCCCTGAGCCCCCGGGAGATCAACTGTGGCTCTCAGGCCCCTCTGAGGGAGAGGTGAGTCAGCCTTCCATGGGCTCCTGCTCTGCCATGGGTTATTGTCCCTGCAGGGCTTCCCTGCTCCAAGGACTCTGAGCTCAGAGGTGCTGCATAGCAAGGGCCAGCAGCAACACAGGGAGGGCCACTCTGAGCTCCCTGGCTGCCAAGAGAGGAAGGACCTTCTCCTGTTGAGACAGAAGATCTTCTTCTCTATTTGAGTGCTGAGCCCTCCTGGCTTAGCTGCTGCCTGCAGGGAGCTGGGCTCTGGGCTTGCCTTGGCACTGCCTCTAGAGGTGTCTTGAAGTGCATGGTGTTGAGTGGCATCTTCTCCATCATCTCCCTTCTTCACCAAAACAGTGGCATCGTGGTATGGGCAGGCGTGGGGCACAGAGCAAACCTTGCTTTGGGTCCTGCTGCTGCCCCAGATGAAGCCCTGGCAATGCTGATCTGCCAGGGTTCTCCTTATGGTGGGACAGCAGCCAGAAAAGCTCATGTCCTTTAGGCTCCCCTGCAGCTGCAGCCGTGGGCAAGCACAGGAGAAGCTCAGCTCCAGCAAGGCAGCCCAGCTCAGGACACACAGGCCAAGGGTGGAGCTGGGAGTGGAGGCTGCTTCAAGCCAGCCTGTGCATCAGGACTTCTTCAGGCCAGGCTGAAGTTGGTTTCATGGGGAGGAGAGGGACGAGGCTGCTTCCAATGGTTTCCATGGCAGCCAGCACTGGTTTGCTTGGTCACAGCTGGGTTCCAGCAGGAAATCTGGCTGACAAGAGCCTGCCTTGCAGGAGAGGAGTTCCTGCAGCCTTTGCTTTCTGACTGATAGCATTGTTCTCATGAAGGAGCAGGCTAGGAGTCATTAAAACCGAAGGTCACGGACACAGACTCTCTAACTAATTAGAGTTAGACAGTGGTGTGTTTATTAACACCGGCGGGAGGCACCAGAGCCGTCCCTAAAAGGCGCGACCGCGCTGCCCAAGGTTCTTTGCCCTCTCTTTATTGCCCAAGATCTTACATACAATACATCTGCACAAGCCCAGCACCTCCCATCCCCGCTCTGTATTCAAATGAGCTCATTGGTCCTTCACACCTGTGCAATTCCTCCCTTGAACTGGGTCTCGAATTGGGTCTGTGGTCTTAAGGGATGAAGTCAGGAATGTCTTCATCAGGTCTCTGTGACCCTCTGGCACGATCCAAGGTCCCCTGCTTAGTGACTGATTGACATCAAGCCCAGGTCCTAAGCATTGTTCTCCTGGTTTCAAGATGTTCTTATAACAGTTCACTTCCTCCACTTCCTTCTAGAAAGAAGCTCCTCATGGTAAACAATAGAACATTCAGCTCCGGCTTAAGCATCTCATAATCATTAACCTATGGTCTGCCTGTCTAACTTACATCCTGATCAATGGGAATTGCTTCTAAGCCTCAGCTGAAATCTGAACTCTTTAAAATCATGCTTCAGCTATGCCCAGGAGGAAGGGGGCTGAATGAGCTGAGTAAGAATTGTAGGAGAGATGAGCAGATGTCAGCAATCTGTGCTCTGCTTTAAACTGGGAAGCCATGAGACAAAGGGCATTTTCAGGCAGCAGCACAGAGAGCTGCTGGATCAGCCTTGGGCAGGGGCTGGAGGGGTCTGGCTGTGCCTTCAGAGGGAGCTTGCACAGTCAAGAGCTTATGATGGCAAAGCTGAGGTTTGGCTGGGCCTGGAGGTCCCCTTCCACCAATGGCCTCACTTGGGATGTTCCCAGCCTCTGTGGGTTGAGGAGAATTCACGGAAATGGCCTCAGGGTCAAGGAATGAAGTGCAGGGCCAGCCAGGACTAGGGAGCCCAAGTTTCTGGTAGGGACTTTCAGCCATGGTTTCTATTTGGTCTGCAGAAGGGAGCTGAAGCAGTCAGCTAAAAAGCTTGAGGAGGAGGCAAAAGCCTTAGAGGAGGAAGAGAGGCGGAAGGATGAAGAGAGGCAGAAGAAGGAAAAGAAGGGTGTCTCTGTGGGAAAGCAACCTGCAAAACCAGAGAAGGGGAAAGCCAAGACCCCAGAGAAGAAGGAAACCAAAATCCCAAAAAAGGAAACCAAATCCCCAGAGAGGAAGAAAACCAAAATCCCAGAGAAGAAGGAAACCAAAATCCCAGAGAAGAAAGAAACCAAAATCCCAGAGAAGAAGAAAACCAAGGCTCCAGAGAAGAAGGAAACCAAAGCATCAGAGAAGAAGGAACCCAAAATCTCAGAGAAGGAAACCAAAATCTCAGAGAAGAAGGAAAGCAAAGCATCAGAAAGGAAGAAAGGCAAAGCATCAGAAAGGAAGGAAACCAATGCATCAGAGAGGAAGGAAACCAAAATCCCAGAGAAGAAGGAAACCAAAATCCCAGAGAAGAAGGAAAGCAAAGCATCAGGGAGGAAGGACACCAAAGCCCCAGAGAGGAAGGAAAGCAAAATCCCACAGAAGAAGGCAGCCAAAACCTCAGAGAAGAAGGAACCCAAAGCCCCAAAGAAGAGGGAACCCAAAGCCCCAAAGAAGGAGGAACCCAAAGCCTCAAAGAAGGGGGGAACTGAAATCCCAGAGGACCCAGCTGAGCTGGAGAACTCTTTATTCTTTATTCATGCAACTCATTTTACACAGTTTGAAAAGCCTTGTGTGCAACTTTAGTTAGTTCAGAGATTTCTTATCAGTTATTCTATTATTGGTTAATAAAATAGATTTTACTTGTGCATCAAATCTCTCTATTGTATCGTTTACCTGTTCTCTTCACTGATTCTCATGGGACAAATCCCTTGTTGTTGCAGGTGCATTTGTTTTTCACCCTCAGAACAGATTGCTCACAAAGTCTCATTCTCACAATGGCTTCACATGGGAACTTGTAACTGCTTAGCTGCACTCAGAAGAGATGACAGGCCAGCTATTAACATGGCAGAACAAGGCCTGATTTCATAGGGCCTTTCTTTTATCATTATTCTACCTGTCTATGACATCTCCCCCTTTTCGTTCATTTAAAAAAGGCTCCTATGTTCTGATGTTGAAACAGCTCACTCTTGTGAGGGTATTATCTCATCAAGGTTATCACTGGTTATCTGTTAGATATGGGATAAGATAGATAAAAGACCAATTACAATCAACAAAACTTACCAAATTCTATCAAGTCATTGACACAGGGTTTTGCAGCATGAGAAAACAAAAGAATAATGTCCAATGTCTCTTAGGGAAATGGAAAGAAATGACCATTGTTTCCAATGAGTTGAGAAGTATGAGAAAGTCTATGAGCTGGAAATGTTGATCTTTGACATCACTGAATGTCCTCCTGGGTGCTGGAACAGGGAATAACTGGAGAAGGTTCGTAGGAGCTCTGTACCGTGAGGATGCCAGGAGGCTTTTGTTGGCAAATTGCCTCTTTCAGTGCCCAGACACAGCCATGTCTTGGCAGTCCTCCTCCTGTTCCTGCCCTGGCCACAAAGGCTGCAAGGAAACCTTTTAAGCAAAGGCTGCAAGGTGATGAGGTTATTTCTCTTTGCACTGGGCCTCATTTTTTCAGAGCTGATCAGTATCTGATGGAATGAACAGGTGACTGCTTTGAGCTGCTGCTGATGAAACACAGGCACATCTTCTCCTGAAGTTATGAATCAATCAGGCTTCACTGTGGTGAAACACTCAATTGGGATTTAGATGTGATGATCTTTTTTCCAAATTTCTCATGTAAATATTGCGTTATTCAAAATGATTAGTCATCCAAATTTCTCATGTACATATTGCATTATTTGAATGTTCTTACGGCATTCATTCCTTTTCTTTATTGTTTTTTAAGAATGAGATGCATGTCTTTTGTTATGAGTATGAAGAAACATCATAGCAAAATAATACATGCAGTGGACAAGAAACTTAGAGCAATTAGGAATAATATGAATACAACAATCAGGAATATTTCAAATAGCAGACAAAGCTAACAGCATAGGTGGAATTAGGTAAATAGCAATCTCTGCAATAATGTACCATCATCCCAGAGTCTGCAAACAGCTGACAAACCTCGCTTCAGGGGGGACTTGGAGAATTATTTCCAGATAATAATTCCCAAGCTGCCTTTAAAAAGAGTTCAACTGTCATATCTAGAGAGTCAAATTGCCAAGTCAAAACAACTCAAATCTAGTTTTGATGCAGAAAACATCTGGGTCTGTTGGCAATTCCCATCCAGGAAGAGCAAAGGCCTGGCCACCACCCAAGCTCTAAGTGGGAGAGAATTCCCTGAACGTCATTTAAAACAAGGCTCTTGAGAATAGCACTTAGGAGTAAAGGTCTGGGGGTGACAGACTAATGAACCATGCAAGAGCTGTCTCCTCCAAAATTCCCTCATCACAGAGATGCTTTAAACCCAGCAGAATGTTGGACTGGTTCTGTAATAATAATTGGGGCTGCATCTGATTAGAGTAGATGTCACAATACCATCAGTTTAGGGGAGGCTTCCCACAAAGCTGAGATATCATTTCTTGGAACTCTGAAAAATACTTAAAAATGATGGGGCAGCACTGGGTCAAACCATAGAGCCAGAGTGCGGAGCCCAGCCAGAGGAGTAGTCTGGTCTGAGAGATACATAAGCAGCTAGAGAACAAAAGGAGGATCCTGAAATGACACGTGTCTTGCAGATAATTACACCAAAAGATGGTAAAGCATATGAAAAGCTGGCTATAAAAACAGTAATACAAAGATTGATGTATTTATGACAGAATAAATGCATCAAAGGAAAACACTGAACAGCTCACTAGTAACATTTATGATACCTCAGATTAAATAACACTCAAACCTGATAGAAATTTATTTGGACAGCGCTAGAGCTTAGCAAGAGGAACTTAAACTCAGCCCTAAAAGGATTTCAAATTAAATTCATTATCACCTTAGTAGAACAAAAAGCGCACTCAAGAGAACTCAAAGTTAATTACTATTAATACCAAACATAACTGGACCCATCAAAACTGGAATAGAACATTGTTCAAATTTAGTAATACTGAAACCTAACAGAAATTAAATCTACAAAATTTAACAAAAAAAACCTTTGCCTTATTTAATTTAACAGAATGTAACTGAGCATTACAATATTGGGCTTTAATTTAACAGAATTGAAATGAACATCATGAAAAGTTACAGATAATGGCATGATGTAATTTTGTCCAAGGTTATTAACACAAAAAAAACTACTTAAAGGTGAATAAGCCATAAGTGAAATAACAGCATGATGGTGCACTTGTAACAAGCATGTTAGAATTATAAGTAAATCAGTTATGAGAAAAACCCACGGTAACTGCAAATTCCATGGAAACAGAAATTCAGTAAGACTTTTTGAAGTGCCGGGTTACTGGAAAATAAATATAATAACGTGCAATTTAGCATATTGCTGAACAACCCAACAGCTTTTTGTGACTGTATCTGGCATCATTTTATATGGCACATTTGTTAGCATTCTTGTTAAAGAAATCAGACCATGTTAAAATTTGATAGGCAATAAGGCATTGCATTTACCGCTTTTCAATAGAGTTGATAGTTATCCCTAGGGATAGTTACAGGCTTTGTTAATTGCTGATTTGTCTTTTTGGTATGTGTTTTTGGTCCGGTCAGTTTCTGGCCAATTGTTTTTCAGGCATCTAAAGTAAAATTTGACACAGTACGTGGCCTTGGAGGACCCCAACAGGTCCAATTCTTGGGGTTCCTCTCGAGCATTGGGCAGCATTTTTGTCCACCTGTCCCAAGTATCTGCCAGGTTGGGTCTCTTACCTGTGGTGCGGAGGAGCTCTGAGTTATAGACGGGCCAATCATCTGCTACAAAGGTGTCACGGTTTGACGCTGGCGCAATGCCAGTGCCCCCATGAAAATACATTCTCCCTGGTGTCTGCTGTGAGATGTGACCAGGAATAGGGCAAAGCAGGCTCCAGCTGAGGAATAAAAGGGGGAAAAAAAAAACTTTATTAACTTACAATATATAAAAGAAACACACACAGAACTCAGGATGAAAACCTTCCAAACATTCCTCCTCCCCCCACCAAATTCCCAATACATCACAGTAAGACAAAACCTTGGACTCTCAATTCAGTTACCACCCCTCAGATCACCAACTCTCAGTCCATCACCACCCTTTAGATAATCAGTTCTCAGTTCATCAAGAAGAGAGGAGTCCCTCTTGTACCACAGGCTTCCCCTGGAAACACAGTTGAGACCTTTTGTGTTTCCATGTCACATGTGGCACTGCCTGGAGACCATTTGCCATCGTGACATCTTCCTTTCATGCCCAGTGCTCTCACCACTGCACATGGACCAGAGCTGCTTCTAGGGTTCCCCTTTTAAGGATGCTTTGCCCAGTTCCAAAAAAAGCACAGTCTCTCACTTTCGGGACACCTGTCCCTCCCAAATTCAGCCCCTGGGGCCGAGGGGTCTCAAGAACAGAGATCTTCTTCTTCCCTGAAGATGGAGAGCACCACCACCCTCCTCACCCATTGTCTCTGTTCACGCACTCCTTCACATAACATCACTGCACTCTCTTGGCTCCAAGCCATTGCCTCCCCCTAGATGCAGTCTCTGTGTCACAGGAAAAAAATGGTTCTGTTCATGGCTATACAAGAAAAGTCCAGCCAAAGGCCATTCCATCACCTCCTCTCAACGAAGATTCTTCTCAGCTTCTCTCGTGGCCCATTTCCTCTTATCTCATCTCTATCTCTCTTCTCATTCAACTCCAGGAGGATCAGTAAGGTTTCCATCATCCAAGAAAAGGGTTAAAAATCTCAGGCTCTGCCTGTCCAGAACTCCCATGGCTGCCCTGCCAGGCACCTTCTCGCTGCGCCCCCCTTCTCCTTTATGGCCGGCCGTGCTGCCTGCATGTGATACCGAATTTCAAGCTGGCACAAGCACAGGCACAGGCTCACTCTCTTTCTCTCTCTCTTTCTCTCTTTCTCTCTGGGGGCCTGGCTGCCCAATGACTCTCCAATGTTCCTCCACCCTTCCATCCTGCAGGGGCCTTCACCTCCCCTCTCTGTCCAAGGCCCGGCCTACCTCACGCGGCCGCATGGCTTCCCCTCCCCTGCCAGCCCGCAGCCGGGCAGGGCAGCTCTGACCTCTTTCACAGACAGAACCCAAGAGAGCTTCCCCTGGGAGTTCCCTGCTTTTAACCCCCTGTGTTCTCAGAGGCGCATCCATGTCCTCAGTGGCCACACCAGGTGCCAATATTCAAATCTGAGCACCTATTGGTTTGACCACAGCATCCCAAACAACTCGCATCCTTTTCAAACCAGGACATAAGGGCAGCAGGTTTTTAGATCATGAACTGGCAGAATTCGTTGAGAGGGCTTTAAACTGGGTCTGAAGGGGGTAGGGAAGCAGCTGGGCTGTCTGGAAGCAGGCCCAAGGGTGGTAAGCCTGAGTTAGGTCTGAAATCAGCAGCCCAGCTGAGGTGCATGTATACCAGTGCACGCAGCATGGGTAACAAACAAGAGGAGCTGGAGGCCATGGTGCAGCAGCAGAGCTGTGATGTAATTGGCATCAGGGAAACGTGGTGGGATGACTCACATGGCTGGAGTGCTGCACTGGATGGCTACAAGCTCTTCAGGAGAGACAGGAAAGGGAGAAGAGGTGGAGGGGTGGCCCTTTATATTAGGGAGGCTTTGGACACCATAGGTATTGAAACTAATGATGATGAAGGTGAATGCCTGTGGGTGAGAATTAGGGGGAAGGCCAACAAGGCTGACATC